TGATCATAACGCACTAGAGCAATCTTCACTAGAAGGTATGCTCAAGCATACTTTTCTCTTCGTAGGTACGAGGAAGGACAGTTTGGTATGAGTTACGACGAGCGGTCCACTATCGTAAGTTGTAACCAGATCCTATACGGTCAGGTGGTGTGACGACTTTTTACAAGGGTTCTTAGAATGCCCATGCTACTCTACGGGGGCGGTGTACAGTGCACAACGTTGTGGTGGACTGCAGTTGTCTATCTAGTATATACTGTGCGCGCGGCGTTGAGCTGAACAAATGACCATGATGACATACCCCTGCCCAGCAACAGGATAGACAGCAGCATGGTGCATTGAGAATACAATAGATGATATGGCAAATAACGTCCAACTAGACGTGGGAGGGCATTGCAGAGTACTAGTAGTTGCATACAAAGTTCAAAGTTGTACGGTTACCTGTGACTTGTGCTCCTGCAGAGCTCAGGGCCTATCGTGTACACATCGTAGTGTAAATTGTATGCAACTGGTATGCAATGCTCTCCCAAGGCTAGTTGCACGATACTGGGCATATCATCTATTATGTAGTGGTGATGTGTGGATGTCCGTTGGACTGATAACGATGGTCTAACTCAATCCTACACACTTACCCATCAGCCATCTTCAGGCGCCGGTTTGCCATCTGCAAAACACAGACAGACAGACACACACAGACAGACACACACACACACGCACACAGACACACACACACACATGTACAAAAGGTCAAGTGACTGCATTATAGTGAGCACCGTATTTTCCGGAGTATAAGCCGCACTTTAAACACCCGTGATTCACCCACGAAAATTCGGTGCCGCTTTTACTACGATGGCTGAATTATCAGTAATAAATAGGGTAGATGTCTGTATTTTGTTACAAAAAAATCTGGGCGCGGCATATACTCCAGTGCGGCTTCTACTCCGGAAAGTACGGCACATGCACATGTACTTCCATTCCACACATACATATTCTACTAAACATGCCGCCGACCAGGACTCACTCAAAGAAAGGAAAAAAAGGCCAAGTGAAAGGAGAATGACTGAGATGGCGTGCCGCCTCCAATAGCACAGCCAGTCCGTCGTAGTGCGCTCACAGGGTTCTGACATTATGAATACCGTACTGGCAATATATGTTGCCGCAGTGAGGCCATGAAGCGTTACATTGGCACATGTTTGCCGCACGCAGGGCGTTACATGCAAAGTCGCACAGGAGCCGTTACACAGGTTTCTATATTGCCGCAGTCCTTTTTTTGCTATTGCCGCATCACTTTTTTGCTATTGCCGCATCATTTTTTTGCTTTTGCCGCATCATTTTTTTCTTTTCATCCACATTGAAGGCACAGAAATTCAGTTGCTATCCAACTGTTACAAACCCGACGGCAAAGGGCGACAACGATATCAATAGAAGACTGTACATGTATATTTTAATTATCAGAGTGATCTGTTCACAAAAAGATCATCAAAAGGAAAGTGACATAGGGGAAGAGCGCTTCCTCCAAAAACTACTTTTCACCACGCGGTACACGTGCTTTCACAGTTTTCAGCCTTTTTTTGCAGTGCAAACTGCAATGAAAAGATCGCCGCACCCCGCCGGACGCGCGTTACGAACTCAACGAAAATTTGTCGCACTAGCCTAGTCGCGCGTTACGCCGCACCCCCCTGCGTTACGCGTTACGCGGCAACATATATTGCCAATACGGTAGATAGGGTAAATACTAAATATTACCGTATTGAGGCGTGTTCGGTATTTGACTCTAATACATAAATTCATTTTTTTCACGGTTCTCGTTAATTGTGTTGGGTTTAGAGTATTCACTGGTGACACTGTGTTTGCCCGTACAAGAGGCTTAACACGCCACTCATAGCCATAGCCATAGCCATAGCCATAGGGTACTGCTTACCTCCTTGGACATACTACGCGGTGCAATGTCTTCCGGTAACTGCAGGTCACAGTTTTGCATGTTCAGTTTGCTCTCAGGACATTTCTGCCAGAGCACGTTTTGCATGTTCAGTTTGCTCTCAGGACATTTCTGCCAGAGCACAGCACACAAAGACACATGAAACGTTCCACGGTTGGCTGAATTATCAGTAATAAAAGTTGTTGCCTCCGATTCACCAACAAGGGAGGCGCCCACACCAGCATTTTGAAAAATAGCACCAAAGTAGCTATCTACACATCAGCACTTTTTTTATTTCTTTTATTTTTTTATGAAAGAGTGCACATGCCTACATAGAATGGAAGAGAACAACAACATCAACAACAACAACAACAACAACAACAACAACAACAACAACAACAACAACAACAACAACAACAACAACAACAACAACAACAACAACAACAACAACAACAACAACAACAACAACAACAACAACAACAACAACAACAACAACAACAACAACAACAACAACAACAACAACAACAACAACAACAACAACAACAACAACAACAACAACAACAACAACAACAACAACAACAACAACAACAACAACAACAACAACAACAACAACAACAACAACAACAACAACAACAACAACAACAACAACAACAACAACAACAACAACAACAACAACAACAACAACAACAACAACAACAACAACAACAACAACAACAACAACAACAACAACAACAACAACAACAACAACAACAACAACAACAACAACAACAACAACAACAACAACAACAACAACAACAACAACAACAACAACAACAACAACAACAACAACAACAACAACAACAACAACAACAACAACAACAACAACAACAACAACAACAACAACAACAACAACAACAACAACAACAACAACAACAACAACAACAACAACAACAACAACAACAACAACAACAACAACAACAACAACAACAACAACAACAACAACAACAACAACAACAACAACAACAACAACAACAACAACAACAACAACAACAACAACAACAACAACAACAACAACAACAACAACAACAACAACAACAACAACAACAACAACAACAACAACAACAACAACAACAACAACAACAACAACAACAACAACAACAACAACAACAACAACAACAACAACAACAACAACAACAACAACAACAACAACAACAACAACAACAACAACAACAACAACAACAACAACAACAACAACAACAACAACAACAACAACAACAACAACAACAACAACAACAACAACAACAACAACAACAACAACAACAACAACAACAACAACAACAACAACAACAACAACAACAACAACAACAACAACAACAACAACAACAACAACAACAACAACAACAACAACAACAACAACAACAACAACAACAACAACAACAACAACAACAACAACAACAACAACAACAACAACAACAACAACAACAACAACAACAACAACAACAACAACAACAACAACAACAACAACAACAACAACAACAACAACAACAACAACAACAACAACAACAACAACAACAACAACAACAACAACAACAACAACAACAACAACAACAACAACAACAACAACAACAACAACAACAACAACAACAACAACAACAACAACAACAACAACAACAACAACAACAACAACAACAACAACAACAACAACAACAACAACAACAACAACAACAACAACAACAACAACAACAACAACAACAACAACAACAACAACAACAACAACAACAACAACAACAACAACAACAACAACAACAACAACAACAACAACAACAACAACAACAACAACAACAACAACAACAACAACAACAACAACAACAACAACAACAACAACAACAACAACAACAACAACAACAACAACAACAACAACAACAACAACAACAACAACAACAACAACAACAACAACAACAACAACAACAACAACAACAACAACAACAACAACAACAACAACAACAACAACAACAACAACAACAACAACAACAACAACAACAACAACAACAACAACAACAACAACAACAACAACAACAACAACAACAACAACAACAACAACAACAACAACAACAACAACAACAACAACAACAACAACAACAACAACAACAACAACAACAACAACAACAACAACAACATAATCATTACATGTACAGTCAACTTCGCTTATGTTACATGTATAACGACACTCGGCGGGGTATCAAACGGTGTCCTTACCCGTGAAGTGTCGTTATACCCGAAGTCTCATTATATTATTATTGTATTTCAGTGGGATGGGACTTTGCTCTGGTCTGAGCATGGAAATTATGTCGTTATTCGCGAATTGTCGTTATATCCGCAGTCGTTATTAGCGAAGTACTTAGGCTGTTGAAGTTTTGTAGCTGGGCTGATATGAGTGGCTCGCCTCGCCAGCCGGCTAGCCCTGACTGCCTGAGCTGAGTCCCTGACCTGAGCCGATACGTAACCGTTGAGAACGCTACCTGTTACCATGGTTACTTGACTCTTGAGTCAGCTTGAGCAAGAAGTGCAATGCCCCCATCTGACTCTGAGGTCAGGGCATGTCCACATCCAGCTGGCCCACGTAGATCTACACTGTAGATCTAGATCTACGTAGATCTACTGCACTGCCACTGGCCTGTTTGTGGCCCATGGCCCCATCATCCAAGCCGCGGCACGAGTAGAGAGAGGTCGAGACGAGAACACGACCGGACGCGGGCGCTTTGCTAGCGCTTGTGGAGGGCGAGGGATGGGTACGGGTGGGTAGGGGGTGTGCTGAGCTGTGCGCACAGCAGTACAGGCACACCCGGACAGTTGAACTTGAAGCATTAAAATCAGGCTGTCGTCGTGTCGATGCGACGTTGCCGCAATGACCAAGAAAGGCCATCCAAAAATCGCTTGTCGTAGCATTTGGAGCATGCTGTCCATCAAGATGTGAAGCTGTCAGTGTTAGTGCATCCACTGCATAAAAGGAGTCTACCACGGTCTACACCTAAGACAAAGTCCTTGCTTGAGATGGCCAGGCAGTTTTCTACCGCTGTCTCGATATCTCCTATGGCTTATGGCATGGAACGATATTGTCAATGTCACTTGTCAGCGCAAATCGGATTGGGCTGAGCTGCTCTGCTTCTGGACCGGCCTGACGGACCGCCGATCGAATCGGCGTCTACGTGCACAGGCGCAAACTGCTGTCATAGCGGAGCTCGCGATGCCTGAAGCCGAAGACGAGAACCGGGCAGGTGTTTTTCCAGCTGCTGTTCCGTTTTCCTTGCCTAGTTAGTGCAAGGACAGTTTGTCTGAGTTTTACTTGTGACGAAGTACCATTCATATTTGTTGAGAAAGAAGGGGCTGCCTCGTGCGCTTTGTTGGAAGGTGAGATTACAAGATGGCGCCTCGTGTTGTCCCTCTGCCGTTCATTCTGGTGCTGCTGATGGTGGCAAGCAGCGGATTTGTGTCCGTGACTAGCACGCCCATCATGGGAGCCTACTTCGCCAACTGGGCGCAGTATCACACAGCGCCATACACGTACACGCCGGAGAATCTTGCACCGATCGTCGGCTCGCTGGATCATCTCATGTACGCCTTCGCCTACATCGATCCGAGTAGCTTCGCGGTGACCAAGGTCGAGCCGAAAGACCCGCAGTTTTACGGCGAGGTGAGTTCGCATAGATTGTCCAGTGTATGAACGACCTCATCACCACAACAACCAGTGCCGGCAGAGGCATTAAAGTTTTGGCTTTACGTTTTACATGTGATAATAATAATGTGTTATCCCTCCCTTACTGGCCAAGTTAGTATTGACTCCCATAGATTTGTGACACCTAAGCAGTCCAATACTCCTGCTTATTTTCACTCCTTAGGGCTATTGACTGACTCTAAAGCGTTAGTTACTTCAGGCATGTCGGAAGGTATTCGGCATTGGTGCGGCCATTGATGAGCAGAGGGTCCAGGGGGTACGGGTCCTCCCCCGGGAACATGTTTAGGGAAATTGGGCCCAAATAGCCCATATTCGATTGGTTCAAAAATCCGAAGATGAAATTATTGGTGCGGATTTGGCCGCACCTGTCACACCGGTTCCGACACCCCTATATTTGACTCCTGTTTAGGAATTAAACACAGGCTTTGGCTGGTCATGATAAATCCCAGCATGACTGGAATAGAAGCCGGTTGAGTCGAAGTGCGCTGTGACACAGAAGCATGGTTTGAATAGAAGACGCTCTCTACACGAGCAAGTACAAGTACTTGCACAGAGCATGTGTGGCAGTATGCACGGCACAGTGTTAGACTGAAGATGTGGACGTAGAAGCATGTTTTGAATAGAAGCATAGTTTGAACCCCAGCTGATATGGCCGTAAGCACCTGCTTTTATATGCGACAATAACTACGGTATATTGACGTCGTACTTGGTCAGTATAGGAAATAAAACCTCGTTAAAGACCGAGGCTTTGCCTCTAGACATTTTCTCGGCTAACATTTCCTATATTGAGCTCATACTCAGTCAATATTAAATTGTTATTTCAGGATTACTCAAAGGCTACCGCCTATCTGGGGGATCTCCTATTTTTATACTGAAGTATGTACTAGGAACATAGTAAAAAGGAGAAAGTGCACAACTTGAAGTGAGTGTGATTTGAAATTTGTACTGGGACTGGGAGGCTAGGGACTCTACTCGTGCATCGCGTTGTCATTCGTTGTGCTGTGACTGTCGATAATCGCATTCGGCTGCGCATGCTCTGTCCGATTGAGCTACAAACACTGTTTGGTCCCAAGGCGCCCCACATAAGAACGGGTCAAGTCACGGTTTGCTGACTGAACTAAACTGATAATATCCAGGCACCGCATTGCCACGGTACATGTAAGCCCTGGACTGGGTGGTATGGACTACATGTATCAGAAGTTTACACACAAATCATAGTGGTACAGTACAATAATGGTGGTACATGTACACCTGGCAAAGTGGCGGCAAATGCATGCCTGCTTGCCCACACAACGCTCTCTAAGCTGCAAAGTTCAGGCAAAGAGTCGCGGCTTCTCTAGGCGCCGTGCCACAACTTATGATGTGGTGAGAGAAGGTGTGCTCTTCGCCAGAACTTTGCAGCTTAGATTTAGAGAGCATTATGTGGGCAGGTGTGCCTTTACTGCCATTTCCTCAGGTGTGTCGCAGTTTAAAAAGTACTTCTTGAAGTAGTAGATTCTACCACCATTTCTATACTATATTATGTGATGCTGGCATTGGAGTGGTCACTTCATTCCACTGTATTATTATTAAATTTTTGATTGGGCAATCCCCACAGGCCTAAGGCCTTCTTACAGGGTACCCTAAATGTGCCAATACAAGGTAACGGAAGCGAGAAACAGATGTCACAAGTGCAAAGGCGAATGTCAGCAGGTAGAGAGTTCCAACGATCTGAACGTAGAAAACAAAGAGAAAAAAGATTATGTGCCTGAACAGCATGTCCACATGAGCTGTTGTTGGCATGGCCAGCCCGGTGCGGTTGGCCAGGCCATGGCCGGACTAACGTTTTGCCCACCAACGTGTGTTTACTGCTTTAGAGGGGTTGCTGTATACCCTCAGGGAGTCGGTATTTTACGACTCCTGCTCCGTATCATGCGCAAACTGTATGAAAGTCTATGGTACGGCCGGACCAATCGAGAACTGCTCCCGCCGACCGTGCATGCTGCATGGCCTGGATGATTGTGTGTACACTGTACAGTGAACCCTGTGTAAGACGACCGCCCATGGGACCTTCAAAACGTGGTCTCTGTAACCAGGTGGTCTCCTTATCCAGGGTCATTTGACTGGAAATTGCATCCCTTGGTCCTGATTGCAGTGGTCTTCTGGGACAGGTGGTCGCCTTATCCGAGTGGTCGCCTTGACAGGTTTTACTGTACTTGCGTTTTTCATCCTAATGTTCACTGCTGGTGTGCTGTTGTGCGGCATGGCGCAACACAACCCGTGCAGGTCATGGCCTACAAGAAGACCAATCCGCTTGCGTTTTTCATCCTAATGTTCACTGCTGGTGTGCTGTTGTGCGGCATGGCGCAACACAACCCGTGCAGGTCATGGCCTACAAGAAGACCAATCCGAACATGAAGGTGCTGCTGTCGGTGGGCGGCTGGAACATGCCCTCGTCGATTTTCAGCAAGATGGTCAGCACCAAGACCAACCGCGCTGCGTTCATCAGCAGCTGCGTGACGGCCATTAAGACGACGGGCTTTGACGGCATTGACATTGACTGGGAGTACCCGTGCAGTCCACAGCGCACCGACCACATCAAGTACAGCTGTGCGCAGTTCAAGAGCAGCACGGACGCTGGCGGTACCTGCCCCCAGGACACTCCGAACTTCTCAGCGCTGCTGCAGGAGATGCGCGCCGCGTTCGGCAGTACCTACATGATCACCGTGGCCAGCCAGTCGGCGCACAAGAACTGGGACAAGTTTGACTTCAAGACCATGGACAACTACATCGACTACTGGCACGTCATGACCTACGACTACACGGTGTCGGACATTGCTAACTCGTCGGTAACGTCGCCCAACTGCCCGCTGTACTCACCGCCCGAGTCCAGCGTAGTCCAGTGGAGCCTTAACTACACTGGTAAGACGGCAAGTTTCTAGCTTTTGCAAGTACACTCATACCTCGGTTATCCGGATCCTGAACTTACGGGCACTTCGGTCTATCGGGCAATGTAATCTGATCGTGTGAGTCCTGTAAACACTGGGTGCTGTGCAGCCCTAGACGTGTGAACAGGTGCAGAGTACAAACTTGACACATGCGATCGGATTTCATCGAGCAGCACTGTACCTTGCAGCCACGGTGCTTTTTGTATTCAGGACTGAACATGATCGCGTCGTGGTCTTGCAGACGCCCGCCGTTGTGAATGCCCCTGATGTGTGTGTGTGTGTGTGTGTGTGTTTATGTGTGTGTTTGAGTGTGTGTGTGCGTATGTGTTTGAATGTGTGTGTGTGTGTGTGTATGTGTGTGTATGTTTTCTCGCGTGCATCCATCCAGTGCAAGGGTACCTAGCCGCAGGAGTTCCAGCCAGCAAGATCATCATTGGAATACCCCTATATGGACACACATGGTAAACTGGTGATCAGTGTGCGTTTACTACTGTATGTTACTACTGCATCTGAACTTTGCACAATATGCTCTGAGTAGCTATGCCACTTATGGCTGGGCAAATCTTTCTCAAACCCTTTATGGCTCAAATTTAACCCTTATCCGTCCGACCAGTCAAAATTCTAGTTTTGATAAATTTTACTAGATACATGTAGTCTGTAAAATGGCGGTCAGCACACGCCCAACATCACAGGGTGTGACGAACCATTGTGCACAGCTAGCCGTGGAGCGTGTGATGTTCTTCACGTGTTGACCGCCATTTCGCCGACCTGGAGTAATTTTGAAATCAAGATCAAATCAAGATCAAATCAGGATCAAATCAGGATCAAATCAAGATCAAACCAAGATCCGATCAAGATCAAATCAAGATCTAAGCCACTTTTGATGTTACAGTTTATGTAATTTGTATTGTGCACTCCTGCTGTATGTGACCAGTCTGACCAGTCTGACCGCGCATGTGACTCCCATGGCCCAGTAGTAGTAGTAGAATAGCAGTAGAATTTATTATTTTGATAGGGAAGGCCCTACAGACGTCTTGTTAGAGGGAACCCTAACTTCCCAAGTGCTCTTTACAGAGTGAAACAAAAACGGATAGATGCTCAACCTGACGACACGAGACAGGCTGAGAGAATTCCACCTATCAGCGCCAAGGAAGGAAATAGAGAACATGCCATATCTAGTGGTGGCAGCGGGCAAAGAAAGTGAAGAGAATGATTGCCCTCTAGTGCGCCTCTCGGTGCAAGTAGCAGCCGCCTGCAGGGTGAACATTGAGGAAAGAAGAGGACTTGTAAGCTTATGGTACCAGTACCAGCTCTCCGTAGGCATCGCACTACAGTATAGCGTTAGTCCCGATTCCTGCATGCTGCTGCTGCTTGATCGTGCTGTGTGCCGTTTGTGCTGCCTCTCCTGTAATGCTGTACACACAGGTTTGCGCCAGGTCTAACGGGTGATGCCTGGAAAACGTATGGTCTGAAGGGCGAAATTCAGGGTAAGATCAAAAGCCATCTCCAAGCAGTGGTTGAAGCCGTTGCAGCTGCCCTGCTACCCATGCGAGCCTTGTGTGTGTGTGTGTGTGTGTGTGTGTGTGTGTGTGTGTGTATGGTCACATGGTGAATCAGTTTACTCTCTCTCCCTCTCTCTCTCCCTCTCTCCTCTCTCTCTCTCTCTCTCTCTCTCTCTCTCTCTCTCTCTCTCTCTCTCTCTCTCTCTCTCTCTCTCTCTCTCTCTCTCTCTCTCTCTCTCTCTCTCTCTCTCACACACATATACACACACGCGCGCACACACACACGCACACACACACACACACACACACACACACACACACACACACACACACACACACACACACACACTCATTCACTCTCTCTCTCTCTCTCTCTCTCTCTCTCTCTCTCTCTCCCTCTCCTCTGCCACATTGCAGGTCTGTGCTGTGGTCCGTTCAAGCAGACATACGGTGCAAAGTACGGTAAAGGTTGTCAGCTGTGCGGCACAATGATGGTCAGCGAGATTGATGCATCGGGACCGCAGACCTTCTACGACAAGAAAACCGAGACAATGATCGCTTACCTACCAGAGGACAGCTCTGACGGCTGGACCAAGGCAGGGACGTGGATCACTTACAATGAAGAGACATCGGCGGCCGCCATAACGAAATATGCAGGTTGGTCATGACTTATAGCTCAGTGAATTGTGCATGTGGTTCTCAGGGAGGTTCTGGGTAGTTCTGGGTAGTTCTGGGGAGGGGGGGGGGGGGGGGTGTGACCAGGGTGTACTGCATGGTTGTATGCAGCTCAGTCATAGTATTATTATTAATCGCATTTCCGCGTCAATGTCAGCAATTTCTACATGATAAATGCCCACAGATTCGCATATGCTGGATGGATACGGGAAGGGGACAGCCAACAATAGACAACACGACAAGGGTCAAGAAAAAAACCAGACCAATAGCTAGCACGAGGCACAACATCAAGGCCCGAGAGGCAGAGTATTGCTACAAACGACAGTTTTAAACAGACAAACGAATGGACGAAAGACTGTTGCGCCGTGTGCCGGAAGAGCTCCGTCTTGCCCGGCTTTTAACCTGAATTGTGCATGACTGTGCCGTTCTGGGTGGTGCTCAGCGGACGGCCAGGGTGCACTGTGTACTGTATGGCTGCGGCAATGCTGACATAGCATGCACACCAGGTGATGCACTAAATGCACATGTATATGCACTGTCATAAGATCATCATGACATGTGATCATTCACACCGAAATTGCATGCGTATACAAACTATGGAGGTGTAGGTGAGGCGACCAAACAAATTTGGAGAAAATAGCCTCAGTGTTTTTTAAGCGATGGCGGTGAGACAGAAACGCGCTACTGCAAACCTATCAGTCGATTATGAACTACTGTTGTGCAGCCAGTCGCATCGCACATGTACATCACCTTTTCCAATGGTCTGTTTGTTCCCTTATAACGTCATGGCTTCATGCAGGCGGAAAATGCGGTACATCCCGCTATAAAATGCCCTTGTAGCTGTCTGCGATAATCGCACGGGACCGGCAGAAACAGTCCGGTCGGTCAGGCCATGACCGGACCAACGTTTTGGTCACCAACATGTGTTTACTGCTGAGGGGTTCCTGTATACCCTCCGTATCATACACAAACTGTATGAATGGCTAGGGTATGGCGGGACCAATCAAAGCTGACTGGTTCCGCCGGTTCTGTCGCATGGCATCCCGAAGCGATCACTGAACAGTACGGCAACAACTAATTGCTTAGCCACTTCTCTGCTTCTGTGTCGCACACAGTGGACAATAAACTGGCCGGAGTGTTCGTGTTCGACACGTCAATGGACACCATGGACTTCGGCTCGGGCACGTTCACCTACAAGGTCAGCAAGACGGTTCGCAGCGTCCTGAACGGCGGTGGTCCCGGCCCGTCGCCCGGTAGCCATGTCTGCACGCCAGCAGCGCAGTGCAACGTCTGCGCCGCCTGCTGCAAGACCTACCTGAAGACGCAGAGCGACTGCGATGCGTGCGTGGCGCAGGCGTGCCCCAAGACGAACGTGTGCCAGCCGAGCGGCTCGTGTACCGTGTGCGCCGCCTGCTGCAAGAGCTACTTGAAAACGCAGAACGATTGCGACGCCTGCGTCAAGTCTGAGTGCACCTAGCCTTGCAGCATCCCGCGCTGTAAAACTATAGTACTCGTACACAGTGCTTGCAGCCAGGTGTCACTGCGCTCCAGGCACCCATATACATTCTTGCCATATTAGAACTACGCTCTGTGTGTGTGTGAGGGGGGGGGGGGGGTGGGGGCAGAGCACGCGTAGAACTTCTCTTTGCAATGGCTGCCCCTGATCTCTACGCTATCAGTTCACACGCTTTTTTCACGTCTGATTATCTCACTGCATTCAATTGATAGGTAGCTCTGCATCTTTCTGCATCGGTCAGTCTTTCGGCACTTCGAGCATATTTGAAGTGTGTGGTGCCTCATTCGAAGTGCAGCGTGCAGCAGTTGTAGATGTGTAGGTTAACTGTTCAGTAGCTGTTATTCTGAGAGGCCAGGGGAAGGCATGCATTCTTAGTCTGTAGAGTATGAGAGCTGAATGCCAGTGGTGTCAGCTTCTCAGCAAGTCGGCACACAATCAGACTACAGTCAGACCTTGCTTTTCCTGTCCTCTTTTATCCGGATCCCTCGCAATGCGGAAGAAAATAGCTGGTTACAGATTCACAGCATACGTGGTGCATCCAACATAACCGGTGTTCGGTTATCCGGTTCCCTTGCCTATCCGGATATTCTGGTGGAAAACGGATGTGTGCGGTCAAGGTGGCTGGGGCGGTACATTTTTTCGGGAGAATTTTGACTTCATTCTTGAGTTTATTGGCAGGGTGGAGATGAAATTTGAAAATGTTTTTCGGTGAATCTCTGGAGAATAGCCTTCTCTAGCTTCCTATACATGTAGTTTTATTTTTACTTTGGGACAAAAATTGAAAACGTTTTATTAAAGGTCCGTGGAAAAATCTGACCGTATCTGTTTGCTGGACAGAATGCCGCACACAACCCATGGCTGTTTGTTGCCCGTTATTTTCGCTTCCTCTGCTTGCAGAAATGTAGATTGTGTGACGCAGTGTGATAGTGAGCATACACTAAGCACCAGGTCGCAGTTCAGTAGAACGAATAATATACATTCGTCTGAGGGAATTGTCTTCATAGCTCCAGTACACTATGATTATTATCTATACTGTAGACAACATCAGCAGCAACTGCAAAAGGGCCAGCCACAGCAGAATGCCTAAGATACAAGTGCATGTGAGGGACCCAGCAATGCAAGTGCATGTGCGGGTCCTAGCGGGGGGGGGGGGGGGGGGGGGGGCTGTCTACTACTAGTAGATGTATATAAAAAATAACACAGCCTATTAAAGTTAGTTCGGCAGGGCTCTCCAAAAAAAATAGAGAAACGAAATTCTCCGCTTTATGAGAAAAACATCAAGGGGATGCAACAGTGTCCTAGCATAATATTTCATCAGAATGTTTGAGACGGTTAAAAATATTATACGTTAAAAATAAATTTATTATGATTATAATAATAAGGTGGCAGATAGTGAAGCCCGCTGTAAGCTGCAATTTTCACACAGGAAAAGTTTCTAGCTGACTAAAGGCTAGCCGTAACAATATTAGTTTAAAAAATAGAGCGTGTGTGGGCAGGCGTGTAGTCACCGCCATATTGCCAGGTGTATTTAGCACCATATTATGAATAAAACAAAATACTACTTCAAAAATAACACGACTTCAAGTACTGGCAGTTAAAACATGTGCCATTTCTCTTTACGCTCTCACGGTGGCTCAAGACAAGGGGTCATGGATAGCATGCAAGTCGGTGCAAATAGACAGAGACAAAAAAACTAAGTTTTGAAATGCACTTAGCTCTACTGTGCAGTATACTACGGTGATGTGCGTGTTTGGTGGGGAAAGTCCCGTCGTGGACGGGAGAACAATCCCAGTGAAAGAGTCACTGGTACAAGTGACTGTTTCCAGTGTATGCATTTGGTGGTAATAGTCCAGTACGGTGGGTAGGAAAATAACACTAAAAGAGTTAGGCTAGTATAACTGACCTGGTAAAGCACTGACCTTTTCATTCTCTGAGAAGATCCACAGTTGGTATCGGACATATGCAATGCATCAGGACAGTTATTTGCATTCATTGCGCAACGCGGCTGTTCCGTGGAGGATTTCGGACCGTACCATAGGTGAAACTGTCCTCTACCGAGTCCAGGATGAGCTTTCTTGGCGCCGTATTCGGGAGTTGTGATGCTGTGTGTGTGTGGTGTGTCGGCGGTGCTCACGTTCTGCCAGCCTTGAGCCTCAGCAACTGTTCCTCTACTTCATCAAAGTCCAGTGACGCTCCGCCGGTGCCATCCAGTATCGGCGACAACTCGTTGTGACGGATGATTGGCTGATGCTCTGGTGGAGCGGGCAGGTCCAGTGCTGCATACACCAGAAACACGCATGCACGTGCACAGACAGACACACGGACAGAAATGCACATGCATGTGCACAGGCACAGACAGACAGACAAAAACACACACACAGAGGGAAAAACAGTTCAGAGCTATTGGAGCGCAGCCCAGCCTCCAAGGTCCATTCACCATGGCTAACAACACCGGCTAAATACCGGTGACTTAATTTCTTACGGCACCTAGTTATTGGCAGTGCAAAACCTTTTAAAAAAGGCTGCAAGGAACATTGCTTCTAGCATGCGACTGTAGCTTACCTGAGGGAGGTCGACGGCGAGGCGGTGGAACTTTAGTTGCACTAAAGCAGAATATAACGCAGATCAACAAACAGTCTTGATCATAACGCACTAGAGCAATCTTCACTAGAAGGTATGCTCAAGCATACTTTTCTCTTCGTAGGTACGAGGAAGGACAGTTTGGTATGAGTTACGACGAGCGGTCCACTATCGTAAGTTGTAACCAGATCCTATACGGTCAGGTGGTGTGACGACTTTTTACAAGGGTTCTTAGAATGCCCATGCTACTCTACGGGGGCGGTGTACAGTGCACAACGTTGTGGTGGACTGCAGTTGTCTATCTAGTATATACTGTGCGCGCGGCGTTGAGCTGAACAAATGACCATGATGACATACCCCTGCCCAGCAACAGGATAGACAGCAGCATGGTGCATTGAGAATACAATAGATGATATGGCAAATAACGTCCAACTAGACGTGGGAGGGCATTGCAGAGTACTAGTAGTTGCATACAAAGTTCAAAGTTGTACGGTTACCTGTGACTTGTGCTCCTGCAGAGCTCAGGGCCTATCGTGTACACATCGTAGTGTAAATTGTATGCAACTGGTATGCAATGCTCTCCCAAGGCTAGTTGCACGATACTGGGCATATCATCTATTATGTAGTGGTGATGTGTGGATGTCCGTTGGACTGATAACGATGGTCTAACTCAATCCTACACACTTACCCATCAGCCATCTTCAGGCGCCGGTTTGCCATCTGCAAAACACAGACAGACAGACACACACAGACAGACACACACACACACGCACACAGACACACACACACACATGTACAAAAGGTCAAGTGACTGCATTATAGTGAGCACCGTATTTTCCGGAGTATAAGCCGCACTTTAAACACCCGTGATTCACCCACGAAAATTCGGTGCCGCTTTTACTACGATGGCTGAATTATCAGTAATAAATAGGGTAGATGTCTGTATTTTGTTACAAAAAAATCTGGGCGCGGCATATACTCCAGTGCGGCTTCTACTCCGGAAAGTACGGCACATGCACATGTACTTCCATTCCACACATACATATTCTACTAAACATGCCGCCGACCAGGACTCACTCAAAGAAAGGAAAAAAAGGCCAAGTGAAAGGAGAATGACTGAGATGGCGTGCCGCCTCCAATAGCACAGCCAGTCCGTCGTAGTGCGCTCACAGGGTTCTGACATTATGAATACCGTACTGGCAATATATGTTGCCGCAGTGAGGCCATGAAGCGTTACATTGGCACATGTTTGCCGCACGCAGGGCGTTACATGCAAAGTCGCACAGGAGCCGTTACACAGGTTTCTATATTGCCGCAGTCCTTTTTTTGCTATTGCCGCATCACTTTTTTGCTATTGCCGCATCATTTTTTTGCTTTTGCCGCATCATTTTTTTCTTTTCATCCACATTGAAGGCACAGAAATTCAGTTGCTATCCAACTGTTACAAACCCGACGGCAAAGGGCGACAACGATATCAATAGAAGACTGTACATGTATATTTTAATTATCAGAGTGATCTGTTCACAAAAAGATCATCAAAAGGAAAGTGACATAGGGGAAGAGCGCTTCCTCCAAAAACTACTTTTCACCACGCGGTACACGTGCTTTCACAGTTTTCAGCCTTTTTTTGCAGTGCAAACTGCAATGAAAAGATCGCCGCACCCCGCCGGACGCGCGTTACGAACTCAACGAAAATTTGTCGCACTAGCCTAGTCGCGCGTTACGCCGCACCCCCCTGCGTTACGCGTTACGCGGCAACATATATTGCCAATACGGTAGATAGGGTAAATACTAAATATTACCGTATTGAGGCGTGTTCGGTATTTGACTCTAATACATAAATTCATTTTTTTCACGGTTCTCGTTAATTGTGTTGGGTTTAGAGTATTCACTGGTGACACTGTGTTTGCCCGTACAAGAGGCTTAACACGCCACTCATAGCCATAGCCATAGCCATAGCCATAGGGTACTGCTTACCTCCTTGGACATACTACGCGGTGCAATGTCTTCCGGTAACTGCAGGTCACAGTTTTGCATGTTCAGTTTGCTCTCAGGACATTTCTGCCAGAGCACAGCACACAAAGACACATGAAACGTTCCACGGTCAACAGATCTTTACCTCTGGTGTGTGTGTGTGTGTGTGTGTGCGCGCGCGCGCGCGCGCATGTGTGTATGTATGTATGTATGTATGTGTGTGTGTGTGTGTGTGTGTGTGTGTGTGTGTGTGTGTGTGTGTGTGTGTGTGTGTGTATGGTGTGTGTACGTCTTTCTTCTCTTTCTCAGACTCTTCCTGACTTTTCTTTCATTCTCCTGGGTGGTTACCAACAGCCAGTGCATGCCGGAGTATGTGGTGTGATGTGTGTGCGGGGAAAAAAATGAAAAAGACCAAAAATAGGGATTCACTGGCCAGAAAAGTCACTTCAAATAGCTGTATGGTGTAGACCAGGCTGAATAGTGACGGTCAATTCTTCAGCCTTGCAAGCTGTTGAATGGTGCAATCCCAGCACAAGTTGCTATGGCTTCTGCCGTAGCATTGCCATCATCGCCTCCGGCGATGGGCGTCAAAGGTCAAGGTCAAAGGTCAATGTATGTGTGTGTGTGTGTGTGTGTGTGCGCGCACGTGTGTGTGTGTGTGCGCGTGTGTTTCAGGACATTTCTGCCGGAGCGCAACACACAAACACATCCCATTCAAACACACATGAAATACTCCATGGTCAAACCTCTAGCTACAGCCATTTTGTATCCAGAAACACGTAGCTACAGCCTACAGGTCATAGTATAGCTGCGTTAGATGAAATCCAACCCAAAGTATGAAGCCGGCATCAGCCTTGGAGTTCTGATTGCATCACAGTATTTGTACACATGGACGTAATGTACTTCCAACTACAGCCGGTGGCAACTGAAATCCAACCCCGGATATTCATGCTAGAGTGCAGCACCAAATCTAGTGGTCTCTATACGGTAGTGTTACAAGCGTGTGCTGGGTTTTTGCAACGTGAGTGCACCGTGCTGGGGTTGGATTTCACTTGCCAGCATTGTACATGCAGTGGCATTCGTACCACTCCCATCGGTAACTTGGCTGCACTCACCAGGAGAATCTTGACAATCTTGTTCTGCTTCAAGAGACACGCTAAGTGCAACGGTGTGTTGCCGTTGTGATCGGCGACGTTGACGATACGCGCGTCGGCAGCGATGAGTGCCGGAACGGCCTTGACAAACGCCGCCTTGACGGCCCGGTGCAGCGCCGTGCCGCCGTCGCGTGCCTGCGCCAGCAGCATGTCGTTCTGCGGCTCTCTCCACGGCAACGTGTGCATGCTGCCGCCGCTCAGCGAGATGTCGGACTCGCTCAGCGACATCTGCGCCACCAGCTGGTGTGTCTCATCCAGTCCTGGCAGGCTGGAGTCCATCGGCGACGGAGGCCGTTCCGCCGCAAATGGGTCAAATCCCCCGTTCAGCATGTCATCTGCATCAGAGACATCGGAAAGAACAGCTAAGCAACACCATGCATACGATAGCAGGTCACGTTGCGCTGTGTTATGGTGGCAAATGAGGTCCACAAAGTATTCTCAGTTCTCACTCCTTCAACATGCTCAAGTGCTTGGTACACGCAGTTTAGTTTCTCGTCTATTTTTCGCAGGTTGTCGAGCGAAAGAGAGCAAGGGAAAGAAAGAGAACGAAAGAGAGAGAGGGAGAGAGAGAGAGGCAGAGAGAGACAGAGAGAGAGAAAGACAGAGAGGTACAGAGAGAGGGAGAGAGACCAGGGGAGAGAGAGAGAGAGAGAAAGAGAGAGGGACAAAGAGAGAGAGAGAGAGGGGGGGGGGGGGGGATAGCCTCATTATATCCGGACATAGCGCCGAGCAGTGAGCCATGATTTGTGCTCACCTCGACCAAATCCGGACAAGTCCCTGCGCGATCCGGTACTGGAGTCTTGGGAATTACTTGAGCTGTGGAAGGCCAGCTGCTTGCGAACGTTTGGTCCGTCGACCTCGTCGTCATTGGTGTCTGGAATGGTAGCCATGCTATGGCTTTGCCGTGGCAACATGAAGACCGAATCTGCCGAGGTGGTTCCCCGTCTGTAATGCTTGCTATTCGGCGTTGCACTCATGTCCGCAGTGTCGCCGATGGCGAAGGAGCGGGGAATCGGCGTGGACATCTTTCGCCCTCGGCCGTTACCCTGATCTGGCGTTTCCATACCCGATGTTGTTGATGCCGGGCGACGCTGGGGTGAGAATGGGCGTTCGGCTTCCTGCGTCTCTGGTGTTGTCGCTGGCCGAATGTCGCTGAGAAGGAAGTGGAGAATCTCCATGCGCGCCATATTGCTACAGGCAACCATCAGAGGGGATTCTTCAATCTCGTTGCGTAGTGAATGGTCGTGTGGGCTCTGGACATATGCGGGCACGTGTACACACACACACACACACACACACACACACACAGACACACACGTGTAGGACAAAGAGCAATGCGCTTAAGTGCTGGTAGTCTTTGGATCTGCAGTGACTTCAAATACCAGCATGAGTGAGAATCCAGACAGCCACCGCCAGACTAAAATCTCCACCAAATTCCACCCCGATACACTTCCGGCACTAATCCAGAGAATAATCAAATGGATGATTTCGTCCCCCGTCCCATACGAAGTTCAGTCTTATACTTAGAATGACCCAAGTGTTGATATAGATCACAGTACGTGGCTATGTGCTGTCCTAACAGAAGTGACTTTGCCATAATAATTATCATGATCTCCTTACCACCCACAGGCCCTTTAGAACAGCCAGGTCTTTCTTCCTCATGAACGTAGCCACAATCCTGCACAGAGCACCAACACAACCAGAAAGAGCCAATGGCATACTTCACAATGATTCATGGGCAATGATTATAGTGATGACAAGTGCACGTCAGTAGAAAACTTGGACGAGGCACGGCTGTGGTGAAAAGCTGCAGAGACTGATGCAGCCATCTGTGTAACCGAGTGGATAGAGAGAGAGAGAGAGAGAGAGAGAGAGAGAGAGAGAGAGAGAGAGAGAGAGAGAGAGAGAGAGAGAGGCACACACACACACACACACACACACACACACACACACACACACACACACACACACACACACACACACACACACACATACACCCACCCACCCACACACACACACAGAGAATGCAATAAAGGAGTGATGGTGTCTTACTGGTCCATGTGTTGCTGGCGAAACTTCTTGAGCATGACCTGTACGCCCATAAACTGCCGACTCTCCAGCAGGTGACCACTGCTGTCTGGTAAAGTACAGCTGGCACCTCTCTCACACAGGCTCTCGATGATTCTAGCATGACCTGAACCACAGCAGGAAGGCAAAACACAATCCATCATGATGTGGTGCTGTGTGCCAGGCATGATCAGCACCCCCCCCCCCCACGCACACGTGCATGCACACACGCAAATGTGCGCGCACGCACACACACACCCACCCCACACGCACACATACACACCCACCCACTATGAACCGACCTGAACATGCACTGAATAACCGTTGCAAGAGAAGAAGCACCCTGTGCGGTCAGTTTTCACACAGAGACCAGTCTGTGTGAAGCGTGCTTCATACGCGCTTCACACGGAAAACGGTATGAAAATCTGTGTGAAACTTGATCCAGTACCGCGACGAGGTTTTCATACGTACTTTGGTACGTTCTACCGTGTGGCAGAAACTCTCTAATGTCATTATCTTGCAGCAATTACAGCTGAACGGACTAGAATGAAACAAAGGAACATTTGCCTCGGTTACATGCAAAAAAAGCAACTGTTGTCCTTCTACAGCAAAGACAATTTCCGAGGTGATTGTCAGGACTCCGGGCAGGCATGATGCTAACCTTGCGAGACGGCTAGTTCCAGTGACGTGTGACCCGACGTGTTACGCTGGTTAATGTCCAGCAGTGGTTCAGGCTTGGTCAGCGCTAGCGGCGATACTGGCACTGAGCCCGTGGACGAGGTCGGTGACAGCTGCGATCGGCTGGCCGTGAAGTTAAGCAGGAATTCGACGACGGCAAAGTGTCCACCGCGACACGCGGCATGCAGGGGTGTGTTGCCGGAATCCTCTTGATACTGGTTTACCCGTCCTCCCAGCTAGACAAATCACACAAAAAAGGACAATAGCACAACACACCGTTAATGTCACATTTACACGTTGGTATCACAGCCAGAAAGAGTTGTTACATATCTACTATCACATGACCATACAGGGCACCCATGTTGGTCTCAATCCCTGCATCTATGGGTCACATGACGTCGGCCATGTTGGTTCCACTGTCCACATGCCATGATCACTTTCTACAGTCCATTTCAAAAATACAGACGCATGGTATTTTCGAAATACATATTTCAAATTTGGCTGGAGCTTTTTGAGAATTTGTTTCGGAATATTGCTCAGGTCCTTCACGCAATTACTGTCATATAGATTTTTAAGCGATCGGATAGCAAACGCCCAATTTCGGAATTTTTATGCATAAAGTGATCACAGATTTTATGTTGTATAGATGCCGGCCTAACGGTTTTTTGAAATCATGCGCCTATATTTTTGAAACACACTGTAGTGACGTTTCTACATCAATAGTCACATCAAATAATATACGTGAAGCCACTCTCTATCTAAATGTTGGCGTGCGAGTATATGCATAGTGCATACTGAATACTAGATGTTTATGTGCGTGTGCAGCATTCAATACTCTACATATACACTCCATGCCGCGATTGATCGTTACCTTGTGCAGCATTCAATACTCTACATATACACTCCATGCCGCGATTGATCGTTACCTTGTGCAGCATTCAATACTCTACATATACACTCCATGCCGCGATTGATCGTTACCTTGTGCAGCATTCAATACTCTACATATACACTCCATGCCGCGATTGATCGTTACCTTGTGCAGCATTCAATACTCTACATGTACACTCCATGCCGCGATTGATCGTTACCTTGTGCAGCATTCAATACTCTACATATACACTCCATGCCGCGATTGATCGTTACCTTGTGCAGCATTCTGACAATGTCCGCATGACCGTTCTGCGCGGCCAGTAGCAATGGCCATTCATTGTAGCTGTTCTGTACCGTGTAGAACACAAGACGAAAGACAAGACGGGCAGGAATTCACACGCACACACACACACGCGCACACACGCACAAACAAACACATCTGCCTTGTAGCAAAGTACGTAGCACTCTCACCGTTACAATAAAAAAACCAACGTACCAAACTTGAGTCTGTCCTTATTAGTGGCCACTGCTCCAAATAAGCAATATCTCTCAATTATTAGCACTTGCAGCCCCCCCCCCCCCCCCACAATAGATCTATGTATTATGCAATGTACGGTGTTAGACGATAAGCCCCCCACCTCCTTGGGAAAGGAAAATGAGCCAACGCAGCAGTAGCATGGTGATATAGGAACATAACCTAAGAAAAAACCATACCCGGACATTCACGTCATCCTCTCCTTCTTCCCAGGGGAAAGCACCGATGGCCTCCAGGTCTCCCTTTGCCACAGAGTCGAACAACAATGGCTTGATCACTTCTTCTTGGCGTCTGCAATGTCCATTGAACAAGTGACAGGTGAACAAACAAAACCAATCAACACGGGTGAGCTGGAATAGGTAGGACCGAGAAAGAACTGGTAGGGTGCAGCACTGAGCAAATCGAATCCATCCCCTGCAAACACTACAAAGTCAGAATTGTGATGAGTGAGTTGTGAAGTGAAGTATCAAAATAACATTAGAACACATCTCTACCTAAAGGCCAGACGCAAGAACAGAGACTGAGTGTGTCGCAACTAGTAGTACTGTACTACAGCTCTGCATGCGTGTCATTCCAGTCGATAGACATGATCACAACACGATATGAACAGTATGTGAGAGTGCATACGGTGTCAGCTATGCTTACCGCTTGCGTGCGTCGTCGAGGATGGCCAGTATTTGACTGTCATTCGTGTACTTTCTGGCTGCTGCCAGGCCCTGCAGTGGAGCAACAATGCCAAGAACCGTTATTTAGAAACACCCCAGTGTGTGCGAGCGTACATGCATTCATGGAATATTCCACCACGTCATGCCCCGTGGTCCTCTTCCAGGGAAACGATAAACAAACATATGGAGTGACTAAAACTTTCTAAAAAGAGTCACCGAGGGGCATTTGTGAGAGTGTATCTGATGACGTGATCTCGAGGGTGGGTGCTGATGGGCGCAGGCCAAACTCTTGTACCAGCAGTAAGATACTAGTATAGAATTGCACTGAAGTGAAGAAAAAAACGTTGACATGGACAAAGTGCTCAACAAACTATTCTAGAAGCGTGAAAAATGCAATACATACATGTACAATGCAGGTAGTTGAGAGTTGTCAGAGCAGCAGCAGCAGCAGTAGCAGCAATAACAGCAGCATCAGCAACTGTACGTACGTGTAGGCCCTTTGCAGGCTTGACCAGTTCCACGACACAGTCGATGTTTCTCCAGCGACACGCATGATGCAGTGCCAACATCCCATCCATGTCCACAATGCGCGGGTCTGCACCATGCCTGCATGCATGTCAGAAAACACACACAGGGCAAGAACAATGTGTGTGTACACAAATACACACACACAAATACACACACATTTCATGAAGTGAAGTGACACACTACTACTACACCCACACGTACACCCCCCCCCCCCCCACACACACCCACAGTCCACACCCACAGTCCACACCCACACGTACACCCCCCCCCCCCACCCACACACACCCACACGTACACCCCCCCCACACCCACACGTACCCCCCCCCCCACACCCACAGTCCACAGCCACACGTACCCCCCCCCCCCCCACACACACCCACAGTCCACACCCACACGTACACCCCCCCCCCCCCCCCCCACACCCACCCACAGTCCACACCCACACGTACACCCCCCCCCCCCTCCCCCCCCACACACACACACATGCACGTAGCGACCATAGCTGTTATAACGTCATGGTTCATGATGAAATAAATAGGACTAGGGTTGTACGTTCTAACTACAGTACTCACTTGAGAAGTTGCTGCAGACTTCCAACACAGCCTCCGGTGGCACACATTGCTACTGCAGTCAAGCCAGTCTGTGAACACGGCGGCCAGAGAAGGAGGGAAAGGAGAGTTAGAAGGAGGCCATCACCGGCAGACAAGGGTTTTGTCTAGCTCGGGAAAACCATAATCGTGTCCTGACCTCAATTTTTTTAAATGATTGTTCTTCATCTGCACATTGCCACATGTACACACCCATAGACCCCCCCCCCGCACACACACAAAATTAATACTGACTGACCTTGAAGTGCTGTGCATTGATGGGTGCGTTCTCCAAGTTGCATAGCTCGTTGACGACACCACTGCGATTGTTCTCCGCTGCCTCCATGAGCAGAGTGTTGCCGGAGGAGTTGATAACAAACTGATCTGACGGGTGAACGTCATTCCAATGCAGTGAGCCCTGCCATGATACAACACAAGCGAAACAGAAAGGCAAATGAAAGAAGGGGCGGGGAGGCTGTGTGTGTGTGTGTGTGTGTGTGTGTGTGTGTGTGTGTGTGTGTGTGTGTGTGTGTGTGTGTGTGTGTGTGTGTGTGTGTGTGTGCAGTTATCTGGCGCAAGTCTTGATCTGTCTCATTCAGATCTTGTTCGCTATCGTTGCTATAAGAGAAAATCTGTGGGTGCACATCCAGTGCATTTGCAGATTTGCGTGCTTCTTTTGCGACGGGCGTATACATGGTGGTACATGGTGTGTGTGTGTGTGTGTGTGTGTGTGTGTGTGTGTGTGTGTGAGAGAGAGAGAGAGAGAGAGAGAGAGCCTTTTGGGGTTAAAAAAGGCGAGAGGAGATTTGGTAGTTTTATTGTGGGCAAAATGCAATCACACTTTTTAAAAGAAAAGAACAAGTTTCAAGCCCCTTGCAATTAGCATTTTCTAAAGTAATACACACATCCAACCACACATGTCATGTGCATGTACATAAATCCATACATCCACCCACCCACACATCCATACATGTACATAAATCCATACATCCACCCACCCACACATCCATACATGTACATAAATCCATACATCCACCCACCCACACATCCATACATGTACATAAATCCATGCATCCACCCACCCACACATCCATACATGTACACACATCCATGCATCCAACCACCCACACATCCATACATGCACTGGGTACACACATCCACACCCACACATACATGTACACACATGCACACTTGTACCCCTTTGTTCTAGGGCGATGGCAATACGATACATAGAATGGGTGCTTCGTACACTTTTGGCCTTCGATGTCAGCCTGTTCATTCGATCCATGCGCTCATTGACCAACAGCTGCTGAGCTTCCTGAAATGTGGGGTTTCCCCTGGGTATGACGTCATCAGGTAGACTGCCCATCTTGCACTCAAGGTTGACTAAGGCACCACGGCGGATGAAAGACCTGTGGAGTGAGCAGAGGCAGCACGTAAATACAGACATGGACACAGTCTTACCGTCATACAGTCATACACACACACACACACATGCACACACACACATGCGCGCGCACGCACACACACACACACACACACACACACACACACACATGCACACACACACACACACACATGCACACACACACACACATGCACACACACACACTGTTAGGAGGATATCACACCATGCCAGCGTACATGCCGGGACGGAGGATTTAGCCACTTACAGAACGACGTCTATGTGACACTGCGAGGCGGCAAAGTGCAGCGGAGTCCAGCCTGTCAAGTTGTTAGGCTTGTTAGGCGATGCACCCAGTACACACATCAGAAGCTGCAACGAACAATGGGAAATCGGGAAGAGAGACACTTCAAACTGTCAAAGACTTCCCCCATGTTTCTAAAGAACAGTTTAAATGTCAACTTTTAAAAGTGCGAGCAGCACGTCATGGCAGACTAGAAGAGCTGGGACATACATACACCATGCCAAGAGTACTCACTACAGGTCTACCCTCGCCCTCGTTAGTACGACATCAGTTACAACACGTCATAAATAACTCATGCAAGGAGCATAATATTGAATGACTCAACTTGATATGTACGCGAGAGTTGGACACACTGGTTGGTTATCGGTATGTACTCTCCAGTCTCTTCACCATACCAAACAACCATAGCAGATTCCCAAACTTGAGAATATAGGACTGCACATAATGTTACCTCACACAGCGGTAGACATCCATCATGTGCCGCGATGCACAGTGGTGTCATTCCATCCTCGTTGTATAGATCAAAGTCAGCCTTGAACAAGCGCTGCAGGCACAGCAGTGTCCCCACCTGCGATATCCCTACACATGTACACACATACAATACACACACACGAAAGGCACAATGGAGTTTTACAGAGTTGTCGCAACTCGGAGTTTCTTGCTCAATGCAATCAATAGTGCTCCACATTATCGTGTCGAGCCCTCTCCGCTGGCAGAAGGAAGTTTTCCTCCTTGTACAATACACACATGTATACCAGTACGTACATACACACGTACATACACACGTACATACACACGTACATACACACGTACATACACACGTACATACACACGTACATACACACGTACATACACACGTACATACACACGTACAGTGAGGGTCTGTTATAGCGTGGGTGCTTGAAAAACGACTTCTATTCTATTTCCGATCCTGTACACACATACATACACACGTACACATACATGTACGTAGATACACACACGTACCATGTACCATGTATACGCCCGTCGCAAGAGAAGCACACAAATCTGCAAATGCACTGGATGTGCACCCACAGATTTTCTCTTGTAGCAACGATAGCGGATCTGATTCTGATTGAAACAGATCAAGACAAGCGCCAGATAACTGTCTAATCCACACAACTGGCGAAGCCATGTGAATCGACCCCCCAATGCACACCTGGTGTACACCACACGGAGTACATCGGAATAGGACGGCCAAGACAGTTACCTATGCACACCCTACACTTGCTGGGGTAACCAGTATAGACAGCACGCTGCTTTGATAAAAGCAGACACTAGATGCACTGGTACCTTGAAGTGAAATTGGAGTTATTCTACCAACCAGCCTCGGCAACTGGCACGTACACATACATACACACACCGCATACAACAGAGAGACCCAGGTCCATCATCATGTGGGTCAGTCTCCAGGCTCTTCACGGCTACCAGCACCAAAGGGCATGCACCGTCTCCGCGGGGTTTTCACCACACACTGGTAGAACAGTACACTGTGCAGTACAGTACAGTACCTACCACAGGACGTGACAAGGTGCACCACACAGTTGCCATCGTCGTCCTTCTCTGCATCCACCTCAAAGTCAAGTCTCTGCAGCAGCATCAACAGAACAGCCAGCGTCAACATGAAGCACAACCCACCCGTGTACATGTACCGGTTTATCACAAGTGGAATGACCTAATGTTTTGCTTTGACATGGTATCCCACAAACTGTCTAGCACTGTATGCAAGTGTTCCACAAAAGTTGCCAACGAGGGATCATTCTCGTGCACAGTGCCTGGTGCACTGTGTGTGCGCGCGCGCGCGTGTGTGTGTCCTTGTGTATGTGTGTATATGTGTGTTCATACGTGTATATGTGTACCGGTATATGTGCGTGTCCGCATGTGCGTATGTACATGTATGTGTGTGTGTATGTGCTCACGCGCGTATGTGCATGCATGCGCTTGTAGCAATCAGCCTCGGCTAGACTAACCTGCATCTGAATAAGCAACTCCACACACTTCATGGGCTCTGCTGCCATTTGAAAGATTTCCCCCTTGGCCAGGTTCTTGGCCACAGCACTGCTGGCGCGGGATCCAGCTCTGCGTAGCGCTCCTCCCACACGCCGTACTGCAGACAGGCGCTCTCGCGTGGCTCTGTCCAGACACAGCTCCTGCGCAGTGCGATCTGTTGTGCAGGATCATGTGAACACAAACAGACACGTACACACGCACACACACACACACAGAAAATTCCTCCTTCTAAGCCGAGAATAAAAGGAGCGAACACCCACACAGCCACAAACAGACAGACATTTCTTTCTGAAGAAGACCAGTATGGTCGAAACGTCAACTGACAGTCTTGATCAGTTCTGCCCCTCTGTGCAACGGTCTAGTCACTGTCTCTTTAGTGCTACTTTTTGACGGGATCAAGTGCCTGCCGGTTTGTCATCGTTATAGTCACCAACTACCTCTTACTTCAGTAGACAGACAGTCAGGAACACAGACAGTCAGACAAAGAGACAGACACAGACACACAGAGACAGACACAGACACGCAGAGACATACACACAGAGACAGACACACAGAGACAGACACATCAACGCACAGCATAATAGTATGGGCCACAGTACATTCAGGAAACAGTGCCATTCAGTGGCTACCCAGGATCAAGTGTTCTTCATGTGCATGTACTCGGGGAAACTAACTTTCAGTTTCCACACTCTGCACAGCATTGGGACTACCTGCTTCTGAAGGGAAATCCCCTTGAAGCATACCTAGATCCCATTGTAGTGGTCAACATCCCATTCACTGCCTCAGTGGTTGTGATGAATGACGTGTTACACAAAGCGGTTGCGTGTGTCAGAAGCATGCTCTGTGGTTGGACTTGTGTACATGATGATGTCCCTGAACCTAGAAGTCATTGCACAACAGGCAGCAATCCAGGACCGTGGTATACATGTCATGTTCGTGTATCGGACTTTCAGGACATGCTCTCTAAAGCAGGGTATGCCATATTATGTATGCTGGGGTCCAGTGTTGCTATGCATGCCTGGCACACATCTCCCGGCACAACTTTGCCATAACCCCACATCCCCCTATGCCTGCCCAATCCAATCATACCAACGCTATTTGCGCAGCAATTAGGCAGGACTGTGACATACCCTCAGCGGCAAGCAAAAACGCACACACACCTCCCCTTGGCTCAATAAAACACCTAAACGACTTGATGAGGCAGGGCATGTGGTGACTGCACAGCATTTTACAAACTTTCTGCATGCAGTTTTCACTACTGATTGTAGCAAACTCAATCAGCCAACTGGTCACGTATGCTTGCTGTTCACTTCATTCAAAACTGGGATACATTGATCCTGCTGAACCTCAGCAGTCCCTATGAATATAATGGCTGTGTGGTTGTAGTCACTAAGTGCGTGTGTGTGTGTGGGGTGTGTGTGTGTGGTGTGTGTGTGTGTGTGTGTGTGTGTGTGTGTGTGTGTGTGTGTGTGTGTGTGTGTGTGTGTGTGTGTGTGTGTGTGTGTGTGTGTGGCAACAAACATCTTCTTCGCTTACTGAGCAAATCTGGCTTGTTTGCGGGCTTGAACTCCTTGAGCATGGTGACCACGTCAGGCAGCTGAGCAACACACGCCATGTGCATCAGCGTCACCCCATGTGGCTGGAACATCTGATCCACGCTGACGATCTTAGCGGTGAGCAGCGCTTTCAGCACACGAACTGGGCCGCACAGCACCGTCAAACGGCAACAGTCCAGCACGGCGTATTCCAGTTCGGACTGTCTGAAATCCTCCACAGCGTTACGCAGGTCACAGCCACTGGGCCAAAGCGAATCGTAATCGACCAGCTGGTCCCCGTCTGTGTAGCCGCTCATGCGAAGCTTGCTGCCCCAGAAGGCAACGGAGAGAGCCTCCAGAGCGTCGCTGCTTCGACTGCCACCATGCACAGGCATCGACGACGTCGGTGTGCTTGGAGAACCCGCCATCGACTGGCCGTCCAACGTAGAAGAGCTGTCCATATTGTGAGCCGGTGTTGGGGAGTGAAGGCCTGTGTGACCGTGGCGAGATTGCCTTCGCATTGAGGCGGTAGACATGCAGAGGAATACTAGTAGGTGGCTGCGATGGTCTTGCGCTGAATAGCAAATACAACTAGCGAGAAATGAACACGGATCTACCGGGTTTTGCGATCACGAGCGAGAAGCCATGGCTTCACCCAGTCATTCTGTTCACCGCTCCGTACTCCACCGGCGCTCCAGCTATGAAAGGGGTCGATCGGGTCACGTCTGCTGCGGGAATCTGACCTGGACAGGCTGGAGCGAGCGATGTCCTTGTTCTCGTCACTCCGCGAGCGCTTGGACGCAGCACGCACCTATGTTCCGACATGCAGGAGGAGGTCAGACGCAACAAGGTCAGGAGTTGTGCTTATCCGAGATCGTATCTGTCTGCTCACGGGATGACCTTCAACCAAAAATACTTGGCTAGCTTCGATGACTACCAGTACGTGATTTACCAAGCCTAGCCGCCAAACCTTCAAGATTGATGTGACAAGACAAAGCCGTAAAAGGCGCAGTACAACGCAGTACAGGACCTAGTAGTAGTACAGGAAATCAACGCGCTTGACAAAAATGATTCATTTCGAACAGAAGGCAAGCGTCATCATACTCACAAAGATACCTTCATGCATAACTTCATAAGTCAGTCGAAGGACGCGGTCGACTTCGATCGACACATGCACACGGCTGTCAAAAGGACTCTACGATCATAAAAAAATAATAGTAACATACAGACGATAGGGGCAAGCCTGGGCAGGTTTCTGTCAACTACGCTTTGAGTACTTTGACCTAGCCAGGGAAGACACTTTCAGTCTTCCGTTGCTGCAAATGTTCACTGTGAGTGTGAAGACGTCCGAAACACTGAATCCACCACCACCACCATACCGAAGGCATGGTCCGATGACTTCAGCTCCCAGCACTGAGGTCGTGAGGATATTGAGCTGTTTCCAAAACAAGAGCGTTCGTGAATCAGAATGCGAACTACTTTCTCAGCTCAGGCACCAGCACAAAGTTTGAAACCCGCTCTTAATTGATCTTCGAGTCTTTACATTTGGTGAAATGGGACATAAAATTTCCCGAACTATTCCTTGAAGCCTTGAAGTAATAGTTACACAAGATAGTTGAAGGCTCACGGCCTTCTTATCAGCGGGGAGCTGCATTTCAAACCAGGAAGAGACACGTGAAGAACTACAGTCGCGAAGGGCCGTTTTGGTCGCGATCGCACACGTGCACGAAAGCACCATCATGTAGCAAGAGTACATAATTAAATTATTTATGTATGAAGTGACGTAACTGATGCTGACGTCATTATGATCATGCTCATGCTCAGTGAGTCAGTGACTCATAGGCTTGTCCACAAAATGTTTTCAATTTTTTTTGAATTTTGGTTGGATTTTCGCACTTTGAATTTTTTTGAATTTTGGGCCCATCAGGATTGAATTTTGGCCGTCTGGAGAGTACATGTATATCACCAAGTTTGACATGTGAAAACAGTACTTTCAAATACACACACCTTCGACCTTTGACCTTTTGATACCCATCCCCGAATTTGGAAGCACACAGACACACATGATCAGCAGTTGGTGGATTTTTTTATTTTTTGGAACGTTTGGGTACGAGTACTGTTTGGTGACGTACACACTGGAGAGTGGTTAGAGTTTTGCTAGCTCCTGTGTTTTTTGAATTTCTTGACGTGGTATGCGTTGATTTCGAGCTAGTTTTTCATGGCAACGAGCGGAGGTAGCGCAGGCTCCGGCACTGGCCGGTGTTGTCAATGCAGTGGCAATTCCGTCTGCAAAACGAACTGCAGTTGTCGAACGAAAAGTAGTCTTTGTATTCAATGTACTCCTGGAAGGAACTTTAGATGCAGGAATCGGCAAGATCGGTTAGCTGCTCCCGTACAGTGCAGTTCAAACACAGCGCCAGCGGGGGTCATTACCGTACCTTCCGCCGTACCTGAGCCAGTCACTGTATCGCAACCCGGAGCGAGTCATAGCACTGCTAGTACCGCCGGTAGTAGTAGTAACGATAATGTGTCGGAGTCCCAGCAATTAGCCTGGGACACCCTGGACCAGCCATTTGACGTTCACACCCTACCCACGGAACCATGCACATCCACAGCAGCGGACACATCACCGTCACTCCCAAGCACCCACGGTCTTAGCGAGCCACCAGGTGCAGCTACTCAACTGCTTGCCAATCTCGACCAGAGTCAGGTTGACCCTCCTGCAGTACCTGTCTTACCCACCCATGGCCAAAGTGATGTAGCTTTGAGCCTGGGCGACCAAGATGCCGACTCTACTGGCCAGATTGTTTCTGCGGCATACGAGGAAGCTGTGCACTTCCTCCCCAACCTTTACCAAGTGCCACAGGGAGGCGCGGGCGCCAAGTTTGTGAACCTGCTAGCAGGTCTCTATCGAAGGTTTGGTGAGGGCGGGGCAGGAGAAGGCCTTGCACTCAAGACCGCAATGGTCGCGACCCAACTACTCCTGCAACAGCCAGTGGATTGCCGTGACCAGAGAGAACATCGTCAGCACCTGAACCGCAGACTTCAACTATGGGAACGTGGTGATATAAACAACCTTATGCTTGAAGCCCGCACCATCCAGGGGCAGCTCAAGCAAAGGCAGTGTCATTCAGGATACTCGAAGAGTAGACGGACACCTCATGAAGACGCTCGGCGATTCGCCAATCTGGTTCACGAGGGAAAAATTGCCAGCAGCCTTCGACCTCTTGATGATGATCGCGCCAAAGGAGTGCATAAGCTGAGCGCAGAAATTGATGGCAAGACTGTTCGTCAAATTCTGGAAGACAAACACCCACCAGCGGGGCCTGTTCAAGAAGATGCGGTCATACCAGACGCACCCCCACCACCGCCGCATCCAACATATTTTGCGGCTATCAACAGGGAAATCATCCGTCAGGCTGCGCTTGACACACAGGGTGCAGCAGGCCCCTCAGGAATGGACGCTGCTGCATGGCGCCAGTTGTGTACAGGTTTCAGGACGGCATCTGATGCCCTGTGCGATGCGTTAGCCCAATGTGCAAGACGGCTGGCATCAGAACACATTGACCCATCCTCACTCGATGCCTTCCTTGCCTGCCGCCTCATCGCCCTTGATAAGGACCCCGGAGTCAGGCCGATTGGTGTCGGTGAGGTTGTGCGACGGATTATCAGCAAAGCCATCCTCAAAGTCACCAAGGCTGACATAATCCAGTCGGTCGGCTGTCTCCAGCTCTGTGGGGGCCAAGAGTCAGGCATAGAGGCAGCAATCCATGCCATGAGAGAAATCTTCCAGCAGGACGACACAGAAGGTATTCTCTTTGCAGACGCTTCCAACGCAATCAATCGCTTAAACCGTTCTGTGTGTCTCCTGAATGTTCAACACCTATGTCCCGCACTCGCCGTAGTCCTTACCAACACGTACCGACAGCCCGCAAAGCTGTTTGTCGACGGGGAGACCCTTCAGTCCGCTGAGGGCACAACGCAGGGGGATCCCCTCGCCATGGTGATGTATGCTCTAGGGACGTTGCCATTAATCCGCGAAGCCGCTGCAGCCAACGCCGTACAAGCGTGGTACGCCGATGATTCTACAGCTGCAAGTAAGATAATTCGTCTCAGAGAATGGTGGTCTATCCTGGAAACGCGTGGTCCAGCTTACGGCTACTATACGAATGCTGCAAAGTCTGTGTTACTCGTCAAACCACAGTTCCTCAACATCGCGCGAGAAGTGTTCGCCGACACTGAAGTTCGCGTAACCGCGGACGGTCACCGACATCTTGGAGCTGTCCTGGGCACAGAGCAGTATTGCAATCAGTACGTCGCTCAAAAGGCAGAGCAATGGTGCAAAGAAGTCAAGCGCCTCGCAACCTATGCACTTAGCCAACCGCAAGCCGCCTACACTGCATTTAGCCAAGGCCTCAAGCACAAATGGTCATTTCTGGTTCCAACTTCGTACTGTACCAGGAGCAGCAGATCTGCTACATCCACTCGAGGATGTGATCCGCAATGATTTCATTCCGGCATTGACAGGGCGTCACCCACCGAATTCGGTGATCCGCGCTGTGCTTGACCTTCCGTGTCGTCTCGGTGGTCTCGGTATTGTTGACCCCAGTCAGCTGAGCGATGAACATCAGCGCTCTCTGTCCATCACCCATCCACTCATTGACAACATCATCCAACAGCAGTCATCCATGGAAGGCATCTCAGGGCGGATGCGGGTACTGAAGGCAACAGCTAGGACAGCCGCTGGGAAGAAGGAGAAGGACCATGTCGTCACCCTGATGGCCCAACTCGAGCCAGACCTGCGACGCACCCTACAGCTTGCCTCGGAGAAAGGCGCCTCAAGTTGGCTGACATGTCGGCCATTGCGAAGGCATGGCTTCACCCTGCACAAGGGCCGCCTTCCGCGATGCCGTATGCCTCAGGTATGGATGGGATCCTGATCGCTTACCTGCAACATGCGCGTGTGGAAAGCCATTCTCGACCACCCATGCCATGTCATGTGCCATCGGTGGTTATCCCTCGTTACGGCACAACGAGGTCCGAGACCTAACAGCAGCACTGCTACGCGACGTCGCACATGATGTTCATGTTGAGCCGCACCTCCAGCCTGTGACCGGTGAGCGCTTTCCGCTGCGGTCCACCATCACGGCAGAACAAGCTCGGCTGGATGTAGTTGTCAGCGGTCTACACGGTGGACGGTTTGAGAGGACCTTTCTAGATGTCCGGGTTTTCAACCCATTTGCCCCCTCAAATCGGAAACCAACGATCGCTGGCAGCTACAGAAAGCACGAAGAGGAGAAACGGAGGAGTTATGAGAGTCGCATTCTCAACGTTGAGCACGCTTCCTTCATCCCCGTGGTGTTCAGTACGACTGGTGGCCAAGGGAAGGCAGCCTCCACTCTCTTTGGCCGCATTGCAGGCATCAAGTCTGAGAAGAATGGTGAGCCTTTCTCTGTGGCAATGGCTTTGATCAGAGCCCAGCTGTCCTTTGCTCTCGTGAAGGCGGCCGTGGCATGCCTTCGTGGGCATCGCCACAAGTCGAGCAGGTATGACCCTCATGCATATTCTGCCACACTTGCTGTCTCCGAGTGTCATCTGTAGACAACCTGTCTGTTTCCCCTTTTCTCTGTATCATTTTGCAGGGGCGTCGGAAGGAGTTTAAAACATTGGTGCGGCTAAAGTGTGAGAGGGGGTCCGGGGGTCCTCCCCGGGAAAATTTTTGAAAATTGGCCCTAAAAAGCCATATAGAATAATAAAAAGAATATGCATGCTGATGATACATCGCATTGTCGATGTAAAACATGGTACCTGTACAAGAGTCGACAAGCCACCAAGAAGGTTGAAATGTAAAAAAAAAAAAAATCGAAAATTATTGGTGCGGCTTTGGCCGCACCTGCCGCACCGGTTCAGACGCCCCTGTTTTGTATGTTATAATTTCCGCGGATTCCAGTTTTTCTCCCTTCATTATAATTTAAGCGCAGTTTAGCGTGTATTGGCTTATGATTTCTTTTTCTTCTGTTTGTATTTAGCGCTTGACCGGTTATTATTTTCCTTCTCTTTATTTTGCGCTACATATTATTATTTTTCTGGTACGAGTACTGTAAACACCATGGCAACAAATCGAATTTTTTCTGCATTTGGGGGATTTTTTGAATTTTCTTAAAACATTTTGACCGTTTTTTTCGCTTTTTGAATTTCAATTTTTTAAGTGACTCACCTCAGTCACCTGTGAGCAGGGAGTCGTAAAATACCGGTATTTTACGACTCCCTGCCTGTGACTGTGAGTCTAGTCTGTGACACAGCAATGACGTTATGGACAACCTGTCGAACGTCAAAGTGACGCACAGACAGTCAGTAGACTAGACTCAGTACACAAAAACTCATGACCATGATCATGATGATGACTTGGGCCATGTGCTTGTGCATGTGCAGCCTTGGAGGATCCGTTCCAGTTCTTGATACGACCATTCCAACCGTGAATCCAAGTCAAGTGGCCCTGCTGTTCGATGATGAGATGGCATCCCTGGCCTGACACTGGATTCTCTCATCATCATCCTCACTCGAGTCGAGATAATCACTTGCTGGAGTGTCTTTTTCCGGAGCTGAGACTGCTGTGTCTGACATACCATTGTCTCTAGCCTTGCTCGGTACACACCCGGCCTCTGTCATTTCCGAGCATCCTGCGTTCATTCAATGGTCTTCAAGTTTATACAGTATAAAGAGAATCAAGTTCTGTTTTGAATTTATAAACATAATCATTCAATTTCTCCAGTGTGAAGCAGCTCTCAACATGACGACGGTAAGTTAGGAATGGAGCTTTTCCTGTGGACAATTCTGGTGTGTTTTTTACCGTCTCCAGTACTTTTCCTGTTGTTTTTCAGGTCGATGCTGTCCTGGAGCCGTTCGTGCTCTCCAAGGAGCGCCTGCAAGAAATCAAGAAGCGCCTGCTGTCCGAGATGGAGGATGGCCTGGCCCGAGAGGGTGCCACCATCCGCATGCTACCCACGTACGTACACGACCTGCCCGACGGCACGGAGAAGGGCAAATTCTTGGCGCTGGACCTGGGTGGGAGCAACTTCCGCGTTCTGCTTATCTCTCTGGATGGTCGTTCGTACACACAGACCGACGAGCCCAAATTCGAGCCTCTGAGTGATGACGTCAAGGCCACAACACAGGAAGCACTGTTCGATCACATTGCTGAATGCCTGCAAAAGTTCGTGGATGCCAATGGGATTACGGAGAAGCTGCCTCTGGGCTTCACCTTCTCATTTCCCGTGCTGCAGACTGGCTTGACAAAGGGTACGCTGATCAAGTGGACGAAAGGTTTCAGAGCCGTTGGTGCCGAGAAACACGACATTATCGAGCTTCTGCGCGCTGCGTTGAAGAGAAGACAGGTTAGCATCAGTGTTTAAGGAGAAGACGGGGCTGGCATCAGTGCGACCGTATGCGCCAGGGGAAAAAATGCGCACACGCCCCCTCCCCCCCCCCCCCTCCCGTCCCCTATTTGACCAACATTGGGAGCACTCAAGGTTCCTGTGCATGTGATACCACATTATGGCATATCCAGAATTGAGTGCAGACCCGGCACTCGCGTATACGTGGGGCATAGGTCAGGTGCCGTCCGTATGTTAAAAAAATGAAATTTTGTAATTACCGTATGTCCGCACGTTTAAAGCCATGACGGTATGTTCGATTATAAAGCCAGTCTCAGTTATAAAGCCATGGGCTTCAAATGACATTTAAAGTACCAGTATGTTTTCTAAAAATGAAGGAATAAGACTTAGTATTATACTAACAAACTTACAGCCCAGCAGGAACGATGGACAAGTGGATTTAGATGAAATTTCTGTGTGGACTTTGACTTTTATGGCATGGCGTGGTGGGTGAGTCATTTTGCATCTAAAATAGCTAGGAAAGCAGCGGTGTTTCGAATATAAGGATATGGCTTTAACCTCTTTAGCACGACGCTACCTGAACGTGCCCCACGTCAACACCTGTAAAAGTCGCATTTTCCCATGAAAGTACTAGCTGTTAAAGGATCGATAACTTTACCTTCCCTTGGATGAATTCCACGATCTTGAGCTTTCTGGAAAGGTCTTGAGACGAGAGACAAACTGGTGTCAAACCCAGCTCGGAGCGAAACCAAAACCCCGTGCTACAGCCTGGCAAACCTCATCCATGCGCTCAACAGACTTGAGCATGGCCAAGACTAACCAAGCTCAAATATTCAGCTGCCATTTCGGTCTCCTTGCTCGTATCGAGCTCAAATTTATTGTGACGACTCACGGGATCCACTACCATCATTTTAATCTTGTTTCCATGGCAGCAGGTAGCGCAAAAAAAGATCCGTAATGGAAAATACGCGTTCTGCAGACTGCGCAAAAAATCGAGTTGAAATTTGCCGTGTCAAGTCGGATATCTCAACAACCGGTAGTCGTATCGCTTCGGCAATTGTTTCTATCGCCAGCTGAGAGTTTTCTCTTGCAGATACATGTTTCGATTGTGAGAATCGATTAAGTATTAAGTGAGTTACGATAGTTTGAACAAGTCACCATGGACTCAACACGGAGCCCACGACTATGAGATGCAGGTTCACTGTACAGTGTACAGCGCACGTCGTACTAGTACGACGGCCGTGGGGCATGCAACTCGTGTGCGTCGTACTAGTACGACGCTCGCTAGTACGACGCTCGCGCTAAAGAGGTTAAAGGCGCTGCTGACATACGGCAGGAGGAGAAGTTTGAAGTTCTCTTCGCTCCGTTTCTGGATTGAAAATTAAGCCTAGTTCACATTCGACGGTGATGGTACGGGACGTAAGGGCCTGTCGGGAAGGCTGGGGTACCGGGTGAGCTGTAAGATCTTGTACGATTCGTACGACACGACATGCTGCAGTCGTTCTTCGTTCAACAGCGAACGGCGACAGTCATAAGGCACGGTCCGTGGCGGGGTGACTTTTGGACCTAATTTCTTGTTTTTCGGGACTTCTTTTCAATTATTTCTCCTTCAATGAAGCGGAATCAAGTTCACAATACCAGGTTTTCACGAAGACCAAAAAAGTAGCTTTGAAAGGTGTGCCACTCAAATAATAGCTCCAGGAAATGATACAGTCGTCCCTCTCTAATCCGGCACTTGTTTATCCGGAACCCTTGCCAACCGGCGCACTTTCTGTCGAAACCGATTTTTTTTCGTTCAATTCCTACATCTTAATCCGGCACTTGAATTCCGCCTCCGGCAGTGACTTTTTGAAACGAATCGCTCAAACTGCACGTAGTTTGATTTCATAATCCGGCAGTCGTAAATCGCGTACCGTACAGGTGCACGTCTTGCCAGACCAGGCTAGGCCAGTCTGGTCAGTGCCGCGCGCGCGGGGCCACTTCAGAGTTCAGTTCAGTTGACAACTGTACTCGACCTCGCGCGGGAGAGTTCAGTTCGGTTGGTTGTTAGAACTTTTCCGAACCCTAACTCAATTTATACAAACTGAAAGAGAAAGACCAAGGAACTACAAGTTACGCTATACTGTCCACTAACACCACCAGTTACTAAACAATCAGCTCATGCGATAACATTGCACGACACTGACCGACGGTACTGACGTTCTACAACTAACTACAACGTTCGACCTGCATGATGTCGACTGCTTGTGTGGCCTTCTTAGGAGGGTCAATGTTGTCCAGGAGACAACGGCTAAGCAGTCAACCATACTTTCTTATTTTAGCAAGGAGTAGTGTCCTGCCAATTGTCAGGTGTGTGTGTGTGTGTGTGCGTGTGTGTGCAAGAGTACATGTGAACATGTTCTCTGTTTTACTTTTTCACTTTATCACTGTGTATATTCCTGGAGAACAGTTGAGAATATAAAGCCGTGCACCAAATACTTGGGTCGACATGGAAAAACCCTGCGTTTTGACGTATGACACATGCATGCAATTGGGTAGGGCCGGGTCAGAGGGCAGGATTTCTTAATCCAGCACCCTCGTTAATCCAGCAGAAACGCCGTAGCAAAAGGTGCCGGATTAGAGAGGGACGACTGTATAACAGTTCGTCTGTCACTTTCCTGAGCTATCCCTAAATACCATATGTGATATCAGACCTTATCTTGCTAGTAAAATTCAACTTCAGTTGTGTTAGCCATTCTGCGAGTTATCATAGGAAGCGCGGTGTTCGAAATGCTAAAAATTTCCAAGTACGAATTGGGAGCAGTCGGCGCACGACGCCGTCTCCTGTTCACACTCAAAATGCAGCTGTTTTGTACGCTTGCGTCCCCGTCTACGCCCGTCTACGGTATGAAAAGTTGGATCGATCCAACTCTTCCCGTCGCTTCCCGATCCGTACGGCGGTACGGTTGCGTTCCCGTTCCTGGTGTTCACATTGGACGCCGTCAGACTGTCCCGTCGATCCTTACGTCGCGTCCCGTCGCGCCCCGTCGAATGTGAACTAGGCTTTACCTGTTTGCAAGGGGGATGGGAGGGGTAAGAGAAGACATTACAAAAAAAAACCCTCTCAGCACATGTTCCAAGTACGTTACATACAACGTGGGCCAGCACAGGGTGCGCACAGTCTGAATATGTGCCATGAGCCTGCTGTTGACTCACATAAGCTGTGTGGGTTCCTGTCAGGGAGTGCTATTTTCACTACTCCGTTGTTTGCTAAAAACAGGCTGGGGCATGGGTGGGAACGTGCGACGTGAACACCACACCATTATGATGTGAGTTTCCGGTGTCTGCTGCGGACCCCATAGCAAACCCGTGCAGAGTATCTTGGTGTGCAAGTAAGACTCGGATGGAGAGCCAAGGATTAAATTTAAAAAGAAAGGACCAAAAAATTCTGACTACCCAACATCTTACAACATTTTGCTTATAACTGTTAGTGTTCACTGTTGGACACAAGCTACGGATAACATGTAACAGTTTGGTCCTTTCTTTTTAGAGTTTCTTGGGAGCGTATTTAACTCTTGCGATTGTGCATACTGCATAGTGTGCAGATTGTATGTGCACTCGAACGTCTCTTGTCCGGGCGCCTTGGGACCGGGCACTGCCCGTATCTCAGATTTGCCCGTGTCTCAGGACAGATCATCTACCATGTATCGTATTAGTTTTTGATGAAGTTTCTTTGGCGCGTATAGTTCTTGTTCAGGATAAAGTAGAATCCACTGATGAAAACGTGTGGATTACACAGGTTGACAGTGACAAACAAGCACTTGTGCAAGCGAAAAAAGTTTGAAACTCCTATAATCGAAGCAATTTTGCCATAGAATCTCAAGCTGAGGGTGCCCGGTAGAGAGACGTGCCTGTATCTGAGGCGTCTGGATAAGACACATTTGAGCGTTCGGGTTTGTCACGTGATGGGAAATTCTGCCGTCGCAGACCCCGACTTGAGTTGCACACTCTTGGGTGTTATCGTACTCACGCGATTAGAGCCTTGTCTTGAATAGTGCCCCCAGTCTCGGAGAGCCAATGAAAGTATGCTGCCCTCTCTTGAATAGTGCCCGGGCTTGTAATCAAGCGCATACCGGGAACCTTGTTGCCGTAGACAACTGACAAAGGAAAATCACTCCAGAGTTCGTACTTGTTGTGCTCATCTGTCTTAAATGACGCGGTGCAACGTGTGGCCACATGGATGTGTACTACATGTGTACGACAATGAGTGTTGCCCGCCAAACATGGATCAACGTCTTGTTTTGGCCAAACGGTATCCTTTGGATCCAGTAAACTAACTTTGCTTATGGGCCATGGTGCAGGGTTTCTCAGATCCGAATCCGATGAATCTGGATCCGGATTCGACCAATCATTGCAAGTCGACTGGGTCCTATGGATCTGGATCTGAATCCAACCAAGCAATCACAGACTTGTGCGTGCTTGCGTGCGTGCGCGTGTGTGCATGTGCGGGCATGTGTAAATCAGTACATCTATATCGGTATGTGTTTGTTTGTGTGTGTGTGTGTGTGTGTGTGTGTGTGTGTGTGTGTGTGTAGGGTGTGCGTGTAGGGTGTGCGTGTAGGGTGTGCATAGTTAACTGTCTTGGCCGTTTTATGCCGATGTACTCCGTGTGGTGTAGAGCAGGTGTGCATTGGTGGTCGATTTACATGGCTTCGCCAGTTGTGTGGATTAGACAGTTATCTGGCGCAAGTCTTGATCTGTCTCATTCAGATCTTGTTCGCTATCGTTGCTATAAGAGAAACTCTGTGGGTGCACATCCAGTGCATTTGCAGATTTGCGTGCTTCTCTTGCGATGGGGCGTATACATGGTACATACATGGTGTGTGTGTGTGTGTGTTTGTGCGTGCGTGCGTACACAGGGTATTGAAGTGGATGTGGTGGCACTGGTCAACGACACAACAGGCACGATGATGTCCAATGCACTGCAGGATGCCGACTGCCACGTCGGTCTCATCCTGGGTACAGGCACCAACGCCTGCTACATGGAGAGACTTGATGCGGTCAAGAAGTGGTCAGAACCCAGGAAACCTGGTGTTGAGCATGTGAGTTACTATGAAATCAGGGATGTTTTTGATCTATTTGATTTAACACACACTTATCACTCCCCCCTCACGTGACCGCGGACTCCTGCATATACACTCACACAATAACCACACAACTGTTTGGGGATAGCGCGCTTATTGTATTATGCCAAACTTGACACGCTGAGTCCAGCTTGACTCAGCTGAGTCCCTAACTGCAATTTACTGCTCTAACATGAAGCCGTGCCTGGAAGAAGGGAAAGAGCGAAAAAAGAAAAAAAAATTCTGGCCTTCTGCAAGCAATAGCAAGTAATGAGTGACGGCTGTGTAAAGTCGCACAAACATGCAGTCGACCGGATGATGGTGAGTGTCCGGCACACATCTTGCTCTGCTGCTCCACCTGCGCATACCTGATACGGTGGTGCGCTTACGGGCGGGCTGCCTGGGCCCCAGATGCCTCCTTGATGCGCCACGGAGTGCCGTCGAAGCACCTGTATCACTTCGGTGATCCAAATGCGAATGCAGCCTTGCCGGTCGCCCGCCGGCCTGCCGCCTACGTGACCAGCCTGAGACTGGCCCTGCCGCATTTGGCGCTTCTAAACGCTGCGATCCGGTCGACAGCTCACTGGGCTGCCAAATACGTGACTGGCTTGAGGACAGTTCCATACTGGGCAGGGCGCCCAGCTCAGGTCGCACGCCGTAGCGGCGTGAGCTGGGCGCGGTGAGGGTTGGTGATAACTACAGTTTCCTCCTCCGGAAACTTCCATTTATCACTCCCCCCTCACGTGACCGCGGACTCCTGCATATACACTCACACAATAACCACACAACTGTTTGGGGATAGCGCGCTTATTGTATTATGCCAAACTTGACACGCTGAGTCCAGCTTGACTCAGCTGAGTCCCTAACTGCAATTTACTGCTCTAACATGAAGCCGTGCCTCCCAAAAATAATGGGGGTGGCCTCGCCGCACGCTATCCCCTATTCTTGGTCCCGTCGATCTCTGTGCTGTTCGCTGTAGACCTGTGATGGCATGCCTGATTCGGTATACAGTGAAACCAGTAGCTAAAGACCACCGTGACCAGCGACCAGCCGGGTACTACCGACCACTTCGCCGGGCACGGACGGTCTCACATTCATAATGGTTGTGCCCTGCAAGCCTGCAGCCAAGGATCACCTGCCACTAAGGACCGCTTTCTCTGGCCCCAAGGGGTGGTCGTTAGCCACAGGCTCAACCGCACATGTATCTCTTGCGGGTCAACCTGACCACCTTCCGGCGGCCTGGAGCTGCCGTCCGGGCACCTTCCTGGCCGCCAGATCCTGTGTCAGCTTGAGGGCGTCTACCAAGGGCATTGCCATGAAGGACTGCTAGGCTTTCCCCTGGTTGGTAGCTCCTGCTGGTGCTGGGCACTACTGAATACGCTGACGACTTGTCAGCTTCCGCGGGTAGTGTTCGCACGGGGGGATACCTGGGCGCCCCGAGCCGGGCAGACAACAGCCGAAGGGCTGTCGTGTTGGATACAAGTGTGACTAGCTACCCGCCTGGTACTATGGACACCTTCGCCGGGCACGGAAGGTCTCACATTCATAGTTTGCGGTGCAAGCCTCCAACTAAGGACCACCTGCCCCTCAAGACCGCTTTCTCTGGCCCCAAGGGGTGGCCGCTTAGTCAAAGGCTCCACCGCACATGCATCTCTTGCGGGTCAACCCTGACCACCTTCCGGTGACCTAGAGCTGCCGTCCAGGCCCCTTCCTGGTGGCCAGATCCTGTGTCAGCTTGAGGGGGTCTACCAAGGGAATTGCCATGAAGGACTGCTAGGCTTTCCCCTGATTGGTAGGTCCTGCTGGTGCTGGGCACTACTGAATACGCCGTCACAACTTTTTCCGCTTCCACGGGTGGTGTTCGCACGAGGGGGATGCCTGGGTGCCCCCCGCAGAGCCGACAACAGAGCCAAAGGGTTGGCGCGTTGTATACAATTATTAGTTTCTCAGTTATTCTTGTATTTTGCCTCTTTAATAGGTCGATGACGGCTTCCCGCCCGCCGATCGTCCAAAAAAAAATATGGGGTGAGGCCCCTATCCTGCAACAGGCAATAAATGTGGCCGGGAGTATGCGCTAAGGGCCAGTCAGGACCTGCTGGGTGCCCGAGCTACGGTGCTAACAAGCAAATGCGAACAAGCAAGCTCGGATCTTCGGTTGCACTCCCCATCTCAGCTGCAAACAAACCACGCTCCGAGGGAGAGCTGCCCCTGCATTTTGCAAGCCTAGCTGTAAATATACAAAGCTCCAAGGGGAAATGCCCCTGCATTTTGCAAACATAGCTGTACACATCCAATGCTCCCAGGGGAGCTGCCCCTGCATTTTGCAAACATAGCTGTAAACTTCCAAGGGGAGCTGCCCCTGCATTTTGCAAGCATAGCTATAAACATCCAAAGCTCAGGGGAGCTACCCCTGCGTTTTGCAAACCTAGCTGTAAACCAACAAAGCTCAAAGGGAAGCTGTCCCTGCATTTTGCACACATAGTTGTAAGCATCCAAGGCTCCAAGGGGGGCTGACCCTGCATTTGCAAACATAGCTGTAAACATCCAAAGCTCCCAGGGGAGCTGCCCCTGCATTTTGCGACCGCACCTGTAAACATCCAACTTCAAAAGCTCCCAGGGGAGCTGCCCCTGCAGTTTGCAAGCATAGCTGTAAACATCCAAAGCTCCAAAGGGGAGCTACCCCTGCGTTTTGCAAACCTAGCAGTAAACCTACGAAGCTCAAAGGGGAGCTGCCCCTGCATTTTGCAAACATAGTTGTAAACGTAGAACTAGAAGGCTCCAAGGGGAGCTGCCCCTGTATTTGCAAATATAGCTGTAAACATCCAAGTTCCAAGGGGAGCTGCCCCTGCATTTGGCAAACCTAGCTGTAAACCTACAACGCTCTGAGGGGAGCTACCCCTGCATTTTGCAAACCTGGCTGTAAACATCCAAGCCCCAAGGGGAACTGCCCCTGCATTTAGCCAACATAGTGGTAAACATCCAAAGTTTCAAGGAGTGCTGCCCCTGCATTTTGTCCGCACAGCTGTAAACTAGTTTTAAAAGCTCCAAGGGGAGCTGCCCCTGCATTTTGCAAACATAGCTGTAAACATCCAAAGCTCCAAGGGGAGCTGTCCCTGCATTTTGTCGCGTAGCTGTCAACTAGCTAAAGCTCCAAGGAGAGCTACCCCTGCATTTTGCAAACGTGGCCGTAAACATACCCAGCTCCAAGCCCTTTTTTTTGTTTTGTTTCTTCCTCGCAAACATAGCTGTAAACATACCACACACTAAGGGGAGCTGCCCCTGCTTTCTGCAAGCATCGCTGTAAACGATTACATACAAGGCTCGGAGGGGAGTTGCCCCTGCTTTTTGCAAACATAACTGTACCAGGCCCCAAGGGGAGCTGCCCCTGAATCTTGCAAACATAGCTGTGAACATACAAAGCTCAAAGGGGAGCGGCCCCTGCGTTTTGCAAACATAGCCGCAGCGCCGGGCATAACGCCACCCAGGCGAGGCGCGCTGCCCCTGCCTTGACCAATGCCGCCGCAAACAACACGCGCAAAGGGGCGCTGCCCCTGCATTTGCTCGCATAGCCGCCGTATCAGACCGCCGGGTCAGCCGCCATATCAGACCGCTGGGTCAGCCGCCATATCAGACCGCTGGGTCAGCCGCCATATCAGACCGCTGGGTCAGCCGCCGCCATATCAGACCGCTGGGTCAGCCGCCGCCATATCAGACCGCCGGGTCAGTTGCCATATCGGACCGCTGGGCCAACTGCCATGTCGGGCCGCCGGGTCAACCGCCGCATGGGCTAGGGGCGCTGCCCCTGCCTCTGCCGCCGCCACAAACATAGCTCAAAAGGGAACCACCCCTGCATTTGCTCGCAACGCCGCCGTATCAGGCCGCCGGGTATTCCGCCGCATGGGCGATTACGTAGGGGAATCGCCCCTGCCTCCGCTAGTACAACTGAATAAGCAGCATGGGCCAATCGCCCTGCCCGCCGGGTGCGCATAATGTGTGAGTGTGTGTGTGTAACGCACATACGCGTGTCTGCAATATGCCCTGCGCGGTCGTGACGGATTAATCCGTCGCACCTCGGGTAAAGTGTTAATTACTGAAAGTAAAACAAGGTCGCCAGCCCGCCAACACCGGCACGTACTGCCGGCTCGCCGTGGTATCTAAACAACAATGGCAACAGCGACGACAGCCGCAAGGAAAAAGATAACAGCTTGCCATGTCCAAACAAAGCCCCAAAACAGCAAAGTAGACCCCACATGCTGAGACTTGGTGTAATGCCGCCTAGTACGAGTAGGAAGGGGAGGGGAGCGACAGCACTTAGAGGCGAAGCAGGGTGAGGGATGGAGGAGGATAAAGAGAGAGAGAGAGAGAGAGAGAGAGAGAGAGAGAGAGAGAGAGAGAGAGAGAGAGAGAGAGAGAGAGAGAGAGAGTATGTGTGTGTGTCTATGTATGTATGTATGTATGTATGTATGTATGTATGTATGTATGTATGCGTGTGCGTGGGTGTGTGTGTGTGCTTGCGTGCTTACCCACGTGTGCTGAGAGAGATAGACTACACAGCGAATGAAAAAGGAGGCACGCATTGGTTGAGAAGAAGTTCAGCCGGTTTGCTGCCATGATTAGTTGCTCCCGCATAGCATGAGTTCGGGACTAAGCCGAGTCCAGCAGCTGGATTAGGGAGCCGATGAGAGGAAATGGACTAATCGTCCGCGTGAAAGAGCGTCCGCAGCGGAGTTGTCCGTGACCGTAATATGGGTAGTCAGCGAGATAAAGCCTTGTGTTCTGCTACCATGCGGGGCTGAAGTGGGCTAGTTCCGTCACGGTTGGATTTCGGCAAGTCCCGGATTTCAGACTGCTCCAACTGCCCTTTTGTCGCCGTGCAGTATGAATTTCTTATCGGACTACTTAGGGCCCCAGAGGGCGTAAGCTCGTGTTGCAAGGCGCGATGGTTCTGAAAGTCTGCCAGGCCTCGACCCAGTAGATTAGAGATTCAGTTTTTCTCTTGCCAGAAGAGGAGCCGCCAATGACAATTCCACTCAGTGATTGCCATCGGATTGATCGATTCTAACACGTTTGGCTGCTGGCTGCGTGTGGGCAGGACAGGAAGGCAGCATTGTGGCCAGCTCGACGTATTCCGCACGCCGTATTGTCCTAATCGTCTCCCGTGCGCCAACACATGCGCCGGCCGGCATCATAGCGCCTCCAAGGAACTCAACTAAACTGGTCATACACGACAGTGTCCATGCTTGCATTTTCGGCCGGCATGCTCATCGCCCGAGGCTTGTTGGTCAGGGCCGACGCTGCCGTCGCCGCGGTCTCAAACGAGGAATACCAGCGATCCGCTGCTGAGTAGGATCCATGCTCAGGTACGGGTATAAACCATGTAAACCAACTAGCTTTAGAGCAAACGAGAGCAAAAAAATTCTGGCCTTCTGCAAGCAATAGCAAGTAATGAGTGACGGCTGTGTAAAGTCGCACAAACATGCAGTCGACCGGATGATGGTGAGTGTCCGGCACACATCTTGCTCTGCTGCTCCACCTGCGCATACCTGATACGGTGGTGCGCTTACGGGCGGGCTGCCTGGGCCCCAGATGCCTCCTTGATGCGCCACGGAGTGCCGTCGAAGCACCTGTATCACTTCGGTGATCCAAATGCGAATGCAGCCTTGCCGGTCGCCCGCCGGCCTGCCGCCTACGTGACCAGCCTGAGACTGGCCCTGCCGCATTTGGCGCTTCTAAACGCTGCGATCCGGTCGACAGCTCACTGGGCTGCCAAATACGTGACTGGCTTGAGGACAGTTCCATACTGGGCAGGGCGCCCAGCTCAGGTCGCACGCCGTAGCGGCGTGAGCTGGGCGCGGTGAGGGTTGGTGATAACTACAGTTTCCTCCTCCGGAAACTTCCATATACACACACACGCTCGCGCGCGCGCACACTTGTCATGTTCTGTCTTTGTCGTATTGGTGACATTGGTCACACGTCCCCTTATGCGAGGGGCCGGCAGACCTGAGGTTGGTGAGTTGAGTGGTCGGACACGGTACACTCCAGAGCTCAGTGACTAGCGACGCTCTGTACATGCTTGGCACAACTATGAAGCTGGAACCTCTTCTGACCCTGCAGCACAGCACAGGGCAGGCACTGCAGTGTGCCTTGCAGCATAGCAAGGTGTGCTGTTCTCTACAACACATCGGAACATTGGCAACGGGCCGGTGATGTCACATGCAGCGTTGTTGCTGTTTGTGCCTGCTGGTACTGTACAATCTGGCAAGCCGTGGTGCACTGCGAGCCCTCCAGAGCTCCGCAACCAGCGGCCACAAACCGGACATTGCCTGCTTCCAACTTCCAACTGTTCAGACACCGGCTTGTTCGGGCCATCTGTACACCTTGCACCCGTGTATCCTCGGCCATCTTTGCTGTGTAATGAGCAGAGCTGGAGGCATGAGGTGAAAGCTAGCCGGGAATCACGCAACAGTCATGTTTTAGTTCTTATTTCTTTTTGTTCTTGCTTTTCATGTACGGTGCATTGTTTAGTTTTCGTTGCTATTTGACTGGAACTTGGAACAGCTGCATATGGATGGCATACAGTACTGTCGGTCGCCGAAGAACTGGGCGGTCAGCCTCCTAGCCTAGACCGTTCTTATTTCCGTGTATTACAGTCTATGTACAGTTGAGTCACCGTGTATACATTGGTATGCTGTGCTTGACGAAATTCTAGCCAGGTCGACAGTACTGTATGCTGTATCTATTTTTATTTTTATTCTTATTTTACTACGGAATTCCCTGTAAATCGGTAGCCAGCAATTTTCTTCCGGATGGCGAGGGAACCGGATAAAAGAGGACCGGATAAGCGAGGTCTGACTGTACATATTTCCCCTTTCACCAACCATCCAATGGATATGGCCTGGTGCACTCCTTCATGCATAAGTTTGATCTGTTTTATTTTGGGACTTTGTGCTTTTCCTCTTTTCTGGTCACAGATAGCAATTAATACAGAGTGGGGAGCATTTGGTGATAACGGAACTTTAGACGACGTGTTCACCGAGTTTGACAACTACCTAGACCAGAATGTCTCTATCAACAAGGGAGATCAGAAGTGAGTCTCTCTCTATAAGTATCTGTGTGTGTGTGTGTGTGTGTGTGTGTCTCTCTCTCTCTCTCTCTCTCTCTCTCTCTCTCTCTCTCTCTCTCTCTCTCTCTCTCTCTCTCTCTCTCTCTCTCTCTCTCTCTCTCTCTCTCTCTCTCTCTCTCTCTCTCTTCCTCTGTCTTCCTCTGTCTTCCTCTCTCAAGATTATGTACGTACGTCAATGCCCAGTATATTAAATGTTTGATATTGTTCACACAAGGGTCCATACTTGGCTTTTTTTTTTAAATTGCCATCACTGTGCGCGTTCTTACGTGCGCGTGTGTGTGTGTGTGGGTGGGTGGGTGTATGCGGATGTGTATGTATGTTTGCTATGATGATGCAGGTTTGAGAAGACCATCTCCGGCATGTATCTGGGAGAGCTTGTACGTGTTATTTGTCTGCGCCTGCACTCACTGGGTTTGCTATTCAAGGACCAAGCAGACATACCCAAGTTCCAAACTGCCTGGGAGTTCCTCAGCAAGTACCTGTCCGATATCGAGACGGGTGACGTGTAAGTTACTCTTGCGGAGGCTTCTTTACTAGCAGGCTAGACGTGGCTGTGTGTGTGTGTTTTCTGTATGTTATGCAGTAATGTGCACACTCGCATGATCACTACTGACCAGTGGACTCGTTTCCTGGTGGTGGCACTATACATATTATACTGATGCATACATTCCCTTGTTGCTCTGTTGTGTGCCGCGTTGTTGTTCCCCACAGGGACGAGAGCTTGCCGGCGACGCGCGCCATCCTGAGCGACATGGGCGTCGCCAGCGCCAGCGACGACGACTGCCGCGCCGTGCGGCGAGTGTGCGAGGCGGTGTCGACGCGCGCCGCTCACCTGGCCGCCGCCGGTGTCAGCACCATCGTGGAGAAGATCGACAAGACGCGCAAGTGTTCCGTAGCCGTCGACGGCTCCCTGTACAAGAAGCACCCGAAGTTCGCGGCGCGCATGGACGCCGGCCTGGACATGCTCCTGCCCGCCGGCCATGGTGTCAAGATGCAGGAGGCCACGGACGGGTCCGGTCGTGGCGCCGCGCTCGTAGCGGCCGTGGCCTGCCGCCTCACCGCCACCGCTTCGGCATGAACGCCGCTCTCTCGCCGTCTATCTGATGATCATCACACATACTTAGGTAACCAATACTAACCGTAGATGTGCACTGCCAACACCACCACCGTCGCTAGTCTCGACAAGCGCATGCTTTGAGGTAGCTGCGTGCTGATTCGCGACTACGTGCGCGTATCACAGAATTAGTTTAGTGCGTTGCCGGGATGTCTCCGCTGACCGCATTCGGAAACGCAGGCCAGCGGGCCGGTTGGACCAACCCATCGCCATGGGTATTAGCGAATGTTTTACTAAGCGCAAGCCATTGCCGCTCTCGAACTGCGCCGCCGCCACGCCGTTACCATGGTTACTCTCTTCTGCAAATGCTGTGCTATCAGCTATTGCATTTTATCGACACGCGTCCTCTGACTCAATCTAGGACTAGATAATAGTAGACATGCCTCGAGTTTTCTCATTTGTTTTAGGAAAACCCACCTGTTGTGTTTGCCGGGTGGCTGGTTTTTCCCCCAGTGTGTGTGTTTTTACTACTGTGGCATGCCACCCCCTCTACTTTCCCATAGTTCTCTGCTTACTCGACATTCTCACGATAAGCTAGGTAGACACGCGATGAATAATCTGTTTTTTTAAACAGCTTTAAACAGGGCTCTCCTTCGCCCCGTATACATGTATATCATGTAGTTTATCTACTGGGTGCGTTTAGATGTTGTTCACACGTACTGGTGCAGTGTCTGGATAAGGGCGTAGCCTGGCGACTTGGTTGTCCCATGGCTCACGCCTGCACACCCCGTAGAAGTTCCCTCTCTTACTTTGGTAAAAACCGGCTGCGTGCCCCTCTAAAGTGGAGAAGTTTAGTCTGGCGGGGTGGGGGAACTTGTGTGTGTGTGTGTGTGTGTGTGTGTGTGTGTGTGTGTGTGTGTGTGTCTTCTCTTTCTCAGACTCCTCCTGACTTTTCTTTCATTCTCCTGGGTGTTTACCAACAACCAGTGCGTGCCGTAGTATGTGGCGTGATGTGTGTGTGCGGGGAAAAAAAGAAAGAAGAAAAAGACCAAAAGGTAGGGATTCATGGCCAGAAAAAGCCGCTTCATACCTGTGTGGTGTAGACCAGGCTGAATAGTGCCTGACTGCCTGTAGTGGTGGTCAATTCTTCAGCCTTGTAACCTGTTGAATGGTGCAATCCCAGCACAAGTTGCTATAACTTCTGCTATAACATCACTCTCTGGCGATGGGCGTCAAGGGGTGTGTGTGTGTTTGTGTGTGATGTTGAAGCTCCTACAATGTAGATGTTGCACTGTTTTGAAACCTGCGAAAATCTGAGAAAGTAACACGGAACAAACAGGAAGTACGAAACTAAAATACATGATTGTGCTTACTTATACGAACTAGTTTTGCTGCACAGTTTTGGACTTGGAGTGCAACATGCCCTGGCTTACAATATGGCAGTTACACCACCACCACGTACATGACATGTACAATCATGTAAATGCTTCATACAGTCATGCTGGAGTACAGGCTACACTACTCATGTAGTGTGGTGTAATACCAAGAGTACATAAACCTATTTATGTACTCTTGGTAATACTAATACAGTAATTGTAATAATTATACAGACTGATTTTGCACACTGTCATTGTGCAAAATCGTTTCAGGCAAAGAAAACGCAGACGATCGCGCGCGCGCGCGCGGAGCACGATCTTTCCTACTGAGATCTATGTAGGCTGGATGCGATGAGACTTGAGAGAAGTGCTAGCGAGTCCAGCGGCCAGTGACCATGGTGACTTGCCCCGAATTCCCCAAAACCACTAATTATTGGAAAGGCTTCCTGTCTGAAGCCTTTCCATACTGGTACTCGATGTTTCAGTTTTGTGACACGAGAATGGCACGAGAATTAGTGTACCGCTGAGTGTACCGCTATACACGTGGTCGACACTTAGTCGACACGTTGTTGATACTTTTTTGACACGTGACCCCGTCAACGGTCTGCTTTGTGCCAATGCCACTCGGTAAACGCCGATGTCGCGTACGACAAAAACGACTATCCCGTACGCGAAATAGTTGAGAACTGCATGACGTGGACCTGACGGCAAGGACAACTGCGAGGAGGCCCCTTTCGGTACCCCTGACGGGAAGGAGAACTGCAGTAGTCGACGAAGTCGAACGAGGAGGCCCCTTTTCCGTACCCCATACTGCAAAGTGCCATTGATGGATACCTTTTGCACCTGGAACGACCCCTTAAACGCTGTCGCGGCGACTATCCCGTACGCGAAATAGTTGAGAACTGCTGACGTGGACCTTTTGCACCTGGAACGGCCCCGTAAACGCTGTCGTGTCGGCGGAGTGAATGTGCAGGGTACTAGGGTGAAAAGAATTGCTGCAAAGACGTCCCCTCTACTAGGCTCTAGGCCTTTGCCTTTGGAGACATCGTCGGCGAACTGAATGCGCAGGGCGAAAAGAATTGCTGCAAAGACGTCCGCTCTAGACCTTTGGAGACATCGTGGGAACTCCTTCCGGTACTATACAAACTGCTGACGTGGCCGTGGACTTGTACATGGAGAGTCATGGTGGGACTTCATGTACATGGATACATGGTGGGAATTCCTTCCGGCACCCCCGTACCGCAAAGCCAACGGTGGGGAAGGAGAAGTGCAGACGTGCAGGAAGACGAACGAGGAGGAACCAGGACGAGCGAGCAATGGCAGGACTAGCTGGACCGTAAGTAATAGCTGAATTGTGCATGACAACTTGACACCCATGCGGCACTCGCCACTTGCCACTGCATATTTCTTGTCCACTAACAATGTCTCTCCTCTGCCCCCTGTGTGTCCACGGCCCTGTTTCTGAATTGGCCCGATGAATCGAACGTCTTCCGCAACTGGAACGGCCCCGTGAACGCTGTCGCGTCGGCGACTGAATGCGCAGGAGGGAAAATATTGCTGCGAAGACGTCTCCTCTAGACGACGGTAAGGCACCCCATTGATATGTTGCCAGTGTGTGCCAGGGTATCGCGCGATGGTGAATGAGGAATGATGAAGGGTGCGGTGGGACTGTAGACCTGTTACCTTCTACTAACACGTTATCAGGTGGAGAGTGTCTTGTACTCACGTTATCAGGTCGAGAGCGTATTGTAGTCACTCTCTCTATTCCTGTACTTCATTACGTTTAAGGTGTACGTATAACTTCTCAAAAAAATTCAAAATTGCTCCTGTGCATGCAAGCGGATTTCATTGCACTTCTCAGTTTGGGAAATGCTCGATTATGACAATTCTGCGTGTGAGTGCACTAGCCCTGAACATACATGTAGGTGACCCGTTTGTGGTGTCTCATAGCTAGCCCTTTCCCAAAGATGCTGGCCACTTTTTTTGGAACTTTTCGTTGTTTCGGAAGAAATCGCAACTTTCGCAACTAACGTTACTTTCTTCATTTCCCGGAACTATTTCGCAACTTCTCCGCAACCTTGGCGCAATTGGCCCATGGCATGGGGTCAAAAGGTCAAGTCACCGACTACATGTTGCATTGTTGGACAAATACATACTCGTGCTCGTTCATTTCTCGCCTGCCTTCAGCCTCATTTCTGAGAAACAGTAGATCAACGGTAGTTATGATAATTATGTGCATTCCCTTTTCCGTGCACTGTAATGATGTACAATCATGTACATGTAGGATACATGCAACAGGCTACTGGCAATGTGTAAAGTGGTGGTTCACAGGAGGAAGGGGTGTACGAGTTTGCTGTTGCAGCATCGCTGCATTTCTGCTATTTCTGCTCCATGTTTTGTAGGTTTTGCACAAGAACTCTCCAATTTTGAGTTGCGATATTGGCAACTTTTGAGCTTTTTCTGAAAATATGGATGCGATTTCAGCAACTAGCACTTGTTTTGGCACGGTTGCGAAAAGCATAAGTTGCGAAAAACTATGGCATCTTTGGGAAAGGGCTACTCATAGCCTACCTCACGACCTTCTGCTTTCTTTCTTCATCACTTGTATCTTGCAGGTATATCATCCCGTGACGACCACATTGAAGTCTGAATTTGAAGTGTGAAGATACTTCAGCAACCACATCGTACTTTTCCATTGCTTTCATTGTGCTTCTACTGTGCACGTGTGTAACTTGTGGGGTAAACATGTGATGACATTGCACGCTGGCGACACGGTCAGATGTTATCCATGCGTCTAACGTACACCTGCATGTTATGCATTGAAAAGGATTTGCCACTTGCGATCCTGGGACGAGTATCAGGTCAGTTTTGTCCTGTGTGGGCTGTATCAGATTGCTGTTCACTTCTCTATCTGTTGGATGTGTGACTTTCTGCAAGTTTCTGGTGTATGATGGCCACTTCCTTGCTTGTCACTTTGTATGATATTACATTCTGTATTCGCTGCTTCCATGGCATGGTCTGCAAACTGCAATCCTTGGGCAAATGTCATGTTTGCTATGTTGTGCTTTGGCCGTCAGCTTGTCTACACGCTGTAGTTGAATTAATTTTGTTTCACAACTGACTTCCTCAAGTACGGTAGCCACTGCTTTGCATGGCATTATATATGAAGAATTTCCTGTTTGTGTCGTGTGCATGTGCGTGGCCACGTGTGTGCCGTGTGCATACGCATGTTTGTGTATCTGTGTGCGGGGTAGCGAGGCGGGGAGGGCTGGTATGTATCAGTGTGTTATTGCAGTCTCATGGCTACATACAGTACATCGCGCGCGCGCATGGTCATCATGTTTACCTTCGGGGTTGGGGTGGGGAGGGAACGGAAAAAGAACTGAAATTATCCATATAAAAACCGCTCTGTGAGCGGTTCTGAAAAACCTTTACTGGTACTGCCCCGTCGTAAAAGTAAGAAATTAGAACTGGCCCATTGTCCCCCCAAATGCGAACTGATCCACCTAAATCGCGAATGACGGGACCCGAACGCACCAGTAGCACGAGGTTCCTACCTAGTACCTGTGGATGCAGATGGGGACGTTGGTCCGGACTATGGCCATGTACTGTACTAGCGGTAGGTGGTGTTACCCTATGATAATTGCTGTCCTGTGCCCTCCCGACCTCGTGCTACTGGTGCGTTCGGGTCCCGTCATTCGCGATTTAGGTGGATCAGTTCGCATTTGGGGGGACAATGGGCCAGTTCTAATTTCTTACTTTTACGACGGGGCAGTACCAGTAAAGGTTTTTCAGAACCGCTCACAGAGCGGTTTTTATATGGATAATTACTCAGTACATCGCTGAAGCAAGCACTACTAGAACGACGTCGTTCCCGAGGCAGTGCGCAGACGGAAAAAGCAATTCAGTAGTTTTATATTTGTTAGTTGCATGGGACTTCGGAAAGCACGGTGGAGGAAGGCAAGGGCGTCGGAACCGCACCGGCCGGGGCGGCCATGGCCGCCCCACTTTTTCGGCCGTTTTTTTTTTTTTTTTTTTTTTTTTTTTAGCACACTGCAACAAAGCGCGATGATCTCAGCGCAAACGTGGCAAATCCTTGTCCTCGATCGTGGTTTGTTGCAGGATCAAAAGTCCATGTACACTGAAATGGCACCAAATGCCTGGGAATGCTTGCAATTGGCTTCAGTTTTTGAATTTTTTTCCCGGGGAAGTGTAATGTTTGTCCCCGATCGTAGCATCTTCTTGGTTTTTTGCAGAATCAAAAAGTCTTTCATTGTAGTTACCGCGTACCGTACACTGAAATGGCACCAAATGCCCGGAAATGCTTGCAATTGGCTTTAATA